AAACTTGAACTGTATATTAATAAATTCTTGAATAAACACAATGAAATACTCAATAGATATTCGCCGTTACACAACGAGGTGTCTTCCAAATATAGATTTATTTAAGACTCCTGCTAAGTCACCGTGAATGGAATAAACTAACAGGTGTGGGTTAAGAAATTGTTGCGTGTCATCAATGTACGGCAAATTGACTGTCAATTTCTTAATATTATACGAAATAATAGATCAGCTTTTATTTCAATAATATAAAATTATAACAAGCGCGTAGTCAAGTGTCATAAGCACAGAAATGTACCAAAAACTCTTTGATAAAATTTGGAAATAATCTTCTACATTAATAAAATCGTATTATTTTATTTGATACATTAAGTACTAAAGGTTAACTGCTATTTCTACATTTTTGTTATTATTTGCCTACGTTTTTACTGCAGCCTCTATACTCGTGAAACAATTTTTTTCTTTATTTCTAAATAGCAATTCTTTTATGTATTTGTAACATTACAGAATAAAGGAATCGGAAATAGCTTTTGTGGTCTGAAGTCCAATACACGAGAACTTTTATCGTGCATAAAGGCTTGATTTGCGTAGAAATTTTCTCTTAGAATGGAATGAATTTAGTAAAGAAATATGAAAAAGCGAGTGAAAAACAAATCTTATTTATTAAATAAAGAAAATTAATCGTGTGATTTCCATTAATAGCGTATTTACGGACTCGTGCGTACCAAACGACCTTACCTTTTTAATATAAAATATATTTTCCACAACGTTTAAGAAACGTGTATTATAGTCAAGCAAATTTTTTTACGGAAAATTGTAAATGAAGATTAATTTTACGTGGGTAATAAAAAGTTGTATAGATATTTCTCACGAATGTACATGCGGCAGCTGTTGTGGACATACTGAGTAAATCAACAAAGAGATGCGAGGGGTTGGTATGTTATTGTTATAGGTTAAGAACTTGTCAAAAGTAAATAAATAAGTTCTCACGAATAGTTTACCCACATGCAGTATAAAATAGACAGATTTTAATGTGCATCACTTTGATTACCCATTTTAATTAAATAAAACGGCCTAATTTCCAGTAGTGGTGAAATACGACTAGAAATATCAGAGCTTATTGCAGTCTCTCTCTGGTAATCTCTTACTGGGCTTCATAATTTTAAGTATCATACATAATATTACACATATGAAAATACTATAATGATACCATTATGCTCGTATTTTTATCAGTTTCGTCACCAGTCACAATCGGACGGAAACAACAAATGCCGATGCCGGTCCTTCCGAACTCTCCAAATTACCATGAATAGATATTTAAAAGAATATTTTGTTTAGAATAAATATATATATATATATATATTTATTCTAAACAAATATATATATATATATATATATATATATATATGTATATATATAAAACATTAAAATATGAAGATGTTCCTAACAAAAAAGTGTAAAACAAATAAGGTAAAAATTTAAAGATGAATAATCACATGATTGTTCGCCAACATTTGCATAGATATATCTTCGCATATCATAATTTTTACCGTAAAAACAAAGAATTAAAATGGTAGTAAATAATTAATCAATTTACTTCTTATTAAGTATGTATGCATATATTGTACTTGAATATACCATTTCCTGCGACAGACGACAAATGCGCAATCTATTGTTATCGTACATTTCCTTGCAAGTTGTGATAGTTTAGAAGTTGGCCGTTACATTTGAAAATTCAACGCGCCTTAATCTCGAAACTGTCCAAATGTTTTTTATATCAATGCATATCTTCTTAATTACATATTTGATATATATTGTACAGATAGGAAGCCATATTAATAAACTGAATTTATATACTACTTTAAAGTACTGAATAGTTGCAACAGTTTTTATTGTTAGCCACTGTTTAAATTTAATTTCTATGTTACGTTACAATTTTGATTTGCTAACTTTTTTTTTAATTCGTAGGTTTGTCGAACTAGCCTGTAAAAATTAATTTTAAAATTTCATAACTTCCTCGCACACCGTCTATGAGTGCCGGATCGGGGTCGGCGCGATAACGAGCAGGATTTTAACTGTAATGTAATAGTTCCAAGGATTGAGTTTCAGCCAACAATTCACTGGTGTGCACATATTCGAACTCTTTAATTTATTCCCGTCAGTAATCAATTTTTCAGTGATATGAATTAATTATTACTTATTGTACGATCCTTGGTCTTTTCCTCAGACGTAATGGGAAATCTATAGCTAAAATTAAGCTAAAGAATACGGCAAAGGGTCCTTATAGTGAAATGTAAGTGTGAAAAATGTGTGAGACCTAAAATTTATGATCTGACATTTCGGCCATTCAGATATTGGCTAGGTGCGGCGAAAAATAAAACCAAGGTTAAGTGTTGGGCTAAAAGAACCAATAAATAAGGCTTACATAGGTAGATTTCTTTGCACGGAATACAGTATTAAATTATTGTTTTAAAATTCAGTATTCTTCGTTTTCATTTATATTGCAAAGTATGGATAAATAACGGGTACAATGTTAACCTAGGCTCAGAGACGCAATCACGCTATGTTGAAAACGAGGTCGCGTCATGAAAACAATACGTTCTGCATTTTAAATAACCAAATCGATTTTATACAAGATCGCTACACGTCGGTTGGTTCCAAATGAATTTTAAGAGAAATGATTGATGCGTTATGGGCTCGATGTTATTGACTGGAAGCATACAACCTTTTATCGTAATTTAATGATGTTTTTAAACATATTTCAAAGAAACAATCAATTTAACTTTCATAACTTATTAATCATGTTAACAATACTTACGTCTAAATATGTATATTGTGCCGATTAAATATATTTTAACTTTCATTTTAAATGAAGCGAAACACTTTATAGTTAATGTCTCGTTTGGTTATTGCGACATATGCGTTCTATTTATCATAGGTAATTTACGTAATAACACATTTTTAACTGTGTCATATTTCTGTTACATTAAAAACTGCAGCACCATTACCATTGTTATCTACTTCTACCTTTACAATAAAAACAGACCACTATAAACCGCCCGGTTTCTGAGAATTAAAAAAATTCCCATGACACAATGAAAAAAATATAATTGACTTAAAGGTACAAAGGTTCAGGTAGCTTTACGGTAAAAAGCATGTGCAAGCGATTTTCTGGGGATACAAATACATACAGAGTAAGACTTTTATTAAACATAGCTTTTCTTACTGTAGGACATAGAAATAGTCCGAAGAATCCCCATAAATCTTCCCAGTCAACACCAATGTCCTTGAGTAACTTTGTTAAAGTTGTCAATTTATCTTAGAGGTGGTCTCTTTCTCCGCTGTGTTATCCTGCTTTATGAGCTCTGAATTATTTTCGAGATCCCACATAAGACATTAATAAATTAACTTGATTGGCATTTCCTGAACAATTGCTAAATTAAAAAGGGGTTTGTATGTACAAATATTGACAAGCAATGGGACCAAATTAAAAGTAAACATCTAAGTATGGCCCATGATTTTAATTTGAAATTTTAATTGTATTTTAACAAGTAGTCTATAGGAAATTGTAAATAGTTTTAAATATTATTGTAAAGTTTGGATTTTATAATTTTAATAAAGAAATAAAGAATCTTGCTCCCAAAAGTCCTGATCACCACGTTAGGGGAACGAGAGGGCGGCATAGCGCCGCCCAAAAAAAAAAACTATGGCCCATGAAATATTTGATTCCAAATTATTGAATTGTAAACGGTGTATCACTGTGATTAGAGATATTTATGTTGATATTATTCTTATTCAAAACGCTCCACGATCAGTTTTCTAAACACACAAATAACCGTGTTAATCTTTTGTAATAGTTACATAAAGCGGTCTATCATGTTATGGATAAATTTGTACTACTTTTTCGAATTGGGGTCAACTAAGAGGGTTTTCCGCATAATAATCTCCAATAGTAGCTCGCACTAATTTGGTGTGACGTTGTACTTAAGGCTCCTTGTCGATTTTAATTACGTTGACAGTTTTTAATTTAAGTACGATATCGTCATAAAGTGGTCCTTGTTCGTTATTGTCTTCCTCTATGATCGGAATTTTAATTAAATCCTCTGAAAGCCTAGCTCTTACATAATTTAGTTGTAGAAAATTTTGCATCAAACTTATCAACAGACAAATTTTGACGATGCAAGCGAACGTGGCTAATAGTGAAGTGTTGTTCTTTACCTAATATTAAATCGAAATTTCAGTACATATACAATCTATAGCTTTAAATATAGTACTGTATTTCAAGATTTATCACTTAAATACCCATACCATGTGCTTATCTATTTACTATGGACATTACAAACGAATAATAGTTAACCCTTGTATATTATTTTTAGTCAATAGATCTTTGTTAAATGATTATAATGTTATCATTTGTTGGCAGGAAGCTACTCTATCTTGACCCACAATTATTAGGCTATGTTAAGAATCTAAAGATCAATATAAAGTAGCCCAATAAAAGTATGAATAATTCATAGAATCGCGTGACCGAAACAAGGGCATAGGCCTTCGATATGATTTATGATTACGACGTCAATTCAAATTGTATCTCTCTTATTTCGGGTTTCTTAGTGCTTTTAACCGAAGCTGTATTTCGGTCAAAATATTATTATTATAGTATATGGATAAATTTATTATTATAATTTCTTTCATTGGTTTGATTTGATTGATTAGCTATATGATTTGACCGTTTTACATGATGTGGTTAGTTTTTTTTATTTATTTTCGTAGCTGTGAAATCGTAAAAAATTGATTAACCTCTTTGGTTGCGAGTTCGATATTATTTATGAGACGTCAAAAATTTAATGCATCAATATGTCTTATGCATGCTGTACAATTTTATAAAGTTCTGAATCAACAGACTGTCAATAAAATGTAGGCAGTAATAATTATTTTAAGATATTAGGCTATAGCCTTAAAACGCTCGATCACAATACTTATAGCATAATTATCTTTGGTTTCAGCAAGCGAGAGCGGCGCGTTGTGCGCTAGCGTCGTGGGTCCCGCGCCCACGGTAGCCGAGAGCGCGTTGTCCGGCGAGGTGGCGATGGTCCAGGAGGGCGAGGGCGCGGGCGCGGGGCTGATCGCGCCCCGTCGCCTGCCTAACCCTTGCCTCGAGAGCCCACAGCGCATGGATCTGCATAGGGAGCTGCTCTTCAATCAGAGGATGTGAGTTTAACTTCGTTTACGTTAAGACTTTAATTCTGAATCATTAATTGATCTCTAAATACTATTAATTATGATTGGAATAGTAAGAATAATGTGTTCACCATGATTTTGTAATCAAATATTACAAAAACTAAAAAAAATAAAACAATAATGTAACTATTACACGTAATATCTAAAGCGAAAGTTATCGTAAAAAGTGCATTTTACTGGATTCGTTTCTTTCACAATCTTGTTAGCACGCTAAGGAGCTTATGACACGAGGATCACTGACCCGATTGTCATGCGGTTACCTTTGACATGGCTCCTTGCTGGCCTTTGTGAAAGATTATGTTACATAGACGCCTGTCCAACCACTAAGCTGTAAGATTTAGAAGAATTATTGCAACAAAAGTATTAAGAAAACTTCGAGTAGCAATAATGGTGTACTGTGATGGATGAAGGACGAAAAATATTGATATTTCAAATAAAGCCCTTCCACACACAGGTAATGAAGCTTCAAACCATTTAATCTTTACTCGTGTATATTCAGTAGTAACTTATTTATAAGTTACCTTATTCACTACTTACTTTTAAGTAAATAATGACCATTTAACACTTCAAGTTGATTTAAAATGCAGTACTTTGTTCGTTGCACTTTCGTCCATTGTGAGAACAATCCTTTCTCCACTGTAGCGTACCTTTCACGAGAAGATGAAACTCTGCTTTAATAAACGCTGGCTACTGCGAGGCTACTTCCGCTTTTGAAATAGGAAAAAAAGTTGCTTTTCTTGATAATAAGCTTTTTTTTAGAATTGAAGGAATGTTTTTAAATTATAATTAATTTATTTTTATTCTACGACGGGCAATCGGATTTCTGTGTTTATTTATAACATAATGGTACTATATTTTTCATCTTTTGTATCACCAATGTACCTAAACTTTGCCCTACTTTACTAATTGGTGTCCACGACGTACACTGCCGATTAATTTTGGTTATAACTTTGCCCTGATCTTTCTACATTCATTCAATCAATAAATCCAATCCACTGAAGCATAAAATTATTCAATTTCAATGTTAATTCATCACTAGTCGGAAATTCTTAGTCGCAGACTCACTTCCTCTACTATCGCTTTCTTAAGCCATAGTTCGATTCGTAGAAATGTTTTGTATGTTTTTTGCTTTGCCGTCATTTGGTCGGGATGTGAGTTTGAGGCACAGGTGCGACGCATCCTGCCAGCCTCCTGTGAACTCGTCATTGCACATCTGTCGTCCTTACGCACAACCGGCACACTCGATCTGAGAGATATAAGAACTTGTTTCTCTTAGAAGAATACATCGATACACTCCCAGATGCTTGCCATTTACTTTTATTGTGAGTAATCAAATATTATCTACTGACTGACAACTCAAAAGTAATATACGTCTTATAATTTTAATAAAATTATTAATATACAATTCTTTGTCTGTGCCTTTAAGACAATGAAGTCGGAGGATTTTAAATAAGTTAAAAATTTTAAATGAAAATTAGTCCAATGCTAGTCGGCTAGCAATTTTTATTTCTGTTATGCAACATGTCGATTTTAATAAGATAAATAATAATTTATTGCGTTAGTATTACATTGGCACAGTGCCCAGCCAGCATCTGTCTTTTCCAGACACATGTTGAGATAATTTAAATGAGTACCAACTTATCAGTAAAACTTATTTAGATTAAATCTACTATTCCAATCGGTCAAGCCAGTGACGTAATATATTACCTGCTAACGCCAGATCTTTTGTAAAGAATTTATTCGCTTCGGAATTTATATGGTCGACAGATTAAAAACCCAACCAGCCATCGTTTTAGTAATAATGTTCAACATTCAACGAAGTTTGCGCTATGAATTGTTTATTTATTTCCGAGAAGTATGTTATCAAGTAATAATGTCAGCTACTGTAAGATATAGTTTAGTTTTCAACTCGATATTATTATTTATGCGACCTACATGTTATTGAATTTGTATGTGTGCATTATTTATTTTACGTGATATATTAGAATTAATATTATTTATTTAAATGATGACTGGCTTCAATCTAATTCTGTAAAAAAAGAAAGAAACAGACTGTCTAACTTTCAATAGAAATGTACAGAAAAACGACTTATTATGTCCATAATATCTATAATATAAGAACCATAATATCTATAATAACCCAAAATATTATTAGCCTAAAAGCTTTACTTAAAACTTATTGTATTACCAAAAACTTTCCTATCCATACCCAAATAGTTTGGGACTGTGCAATATTTTTTCAATTGATTTTAAATTGCAACAGTCTGGTGCGGACATTTGTAGGTACAAACAGTTGAGTTCGAATCAGTTTATTTCCTCGTCATTATCGCAGTGGAGGCGCGTCGTCCCGATGATTTCCGCAGCCGTCGCTACTCGGAAGGAAACAATTCCCAGCTTACTGACGAATGCATACTTTGTACAATAAAATTTTGTCCATAGAAACGTTTCATCTAATTTATCTCTTAGATAATCACTCGAAGTTTTATGAAAGAAAAATTGGAAATTATGTCTTTGGTTTTCTTCTGATAATTAAGGTTTATTTTATAGATTTACTTCGGTTTGCATGGTTACAGCCTAATTGATATTTCTATCGACCACAATTAAGTGTTAGCATTTTTACATTATGCGTAATCGTCAAAGCATACATTATACAATCTTTACATACATCGCAAATGATAGGATACCATTCGGAATATAAGCAAAAGATGATCTGATAAAATAGAAATTGGAACTGCTTCGTTCCCATTTCTGAACGCCATCGATATTACTTCTTGTTTGCTTCGTGGAATTTGCTGATTGCTTCCTAGATTCATCGCAAGATATGCCAACAGACGGTGGCCTAAATCCGGCGAGCAAATAGAGTTACATTTCCGTTACTGGATCGATAAAGGCTACGATGATGGCGGCCGAGTAAATAGCTGGAATTAAATCTTGACGGTAACAGCGTTGCAATTTCGCCTCGACATTTTCCACTCAACGGCTTTACATTCAATCAATTTTAAATTGAAAACTGAATCCAATACAATCTGACACTCAAAACATCATGTCAACGTGGAACATTCATCAGTACTTAATTGATGAATAAAAATTGCTATCAAAATACTTCAACATTATAGTATTACAGTAATAATAAAGAATTCGTTTTAATTATGCTATAAATTTAAATTAATTATAGTACGTTATATAGGGATGTACGCATTTCAACACTAAAATAATAAAAAAAACAATACAATATAAATACATCCATATGAGATCCTCAGTCCCACAGATGTTGCACGCAATTGAACAATACTATTAGACTTCTGACGTCATATTAGTACACATGGTGAGAAAATACTGGAGAAAAATGTTTTATTATTTATTTTATAATATAAGTATCCGTAGTATATAAATATAAAATTAAGATTATGTTACTCTTATCGTGGGGTCGTGGATTATTAGCACATCACTTTAGTTAAGGTATTTATCCTTTAATTTCGTCTAGGACGTCTCATACCAACAAGACATGAAATGTTCGTTCGATGCAAGGTCATCGCTCTCTTTTACAAATCATTATCAAAACCATTTTAAAAGACACTAAATTACCCCAAATACGTGTATATATCATCTGAATTCAAAAAAATACAAAAATACTTTAATTGTAAAACACTATATTGCTTGTTATTTAAATAGTTTTAAGACATTCGGCGTATGACACTGATATCTCTTTAAACACGTGCAAGACCTTCGGGTTTATCATAAGCCTTGTACGCTTATCAAGGAATTAGTAAATTTGATGTCACTTTCAATGTGTAGATGTACAAAAATTAGCATAATTAAATTTCATTATCAGTGGAACGAAACATTACCTTATATGGTAGCAAAAAATTCTCTTGATAAGATTACGCTACACAACAGCATATCAGTAGTTATTTCGTAATAAAGCCGTTTTCCTGCGTACATTTGAGTAAAAAAACGTATAACATTTAATCATATTTTTTACAGGATTTCATTATTTCAACATCAAATATTAATTGGTGTACAACAATTGAGGTCGAATACTCATTACTATAACGAATCTATAAAGTATTTATTAATGAACAAAGCATATCATCGTAACACGGGTAATCCTCGGTGTCAAAATGGGACTCGAAGTCTACCATTTAATACGTCTCACTGTATATAGATAGCTAATTTATTCATGTTAATGAGAATCCAATAATGAGGATATGTAGGTGAACTGGTTGGTGATAGGAAATACAAAAAAAAATTAGGCTCCCATCCCAAATACCCGGGCAAACAAAATATACTAAGGAACAAAGATTAGATAGTTGTATCCAATTAGTAGTTAGTAATGATGAAGTTACATTATTATAATGGTTGATTTTATATGATTACATGTTATAAGTTCAAGATACTATTCTTGAAAATCTATATCAGTAGCCATACGTTTGCGTATCATTGATAATGCCTGTTGCATTGACTGTCACGTTGATAGGTGAGGTTGTGAAATCTATGTCGTGTCTACATCTGAGTGCAATTCTTGATTCATATTGCTTAGATTGTTTACCCTTATATTGCATTACATGTATGTCGCAAATTGAAGCTCAAAGAATATCATTTCCAGGATTTAAAATGTTCACATTCCTTTTATTAGTGTATGTACCAAAATAAAATTACTTTTGTCATAAGTTTATATCAATTTCTTGGACGCTACGTGTTATCAATTGAACGCTATTTATTGTACCATGACACGATGTGCGATAACTCCTACTTTAATAATTCGGAAAAAATGTAATTCGCAGTAAAGCTTATTTAATTACAATGGATTTATATAACAACGATAATATCAAAATTGTAGTGGCTAATCGCTTTTTATTTATTCTTTTCAGAGGCAAAAATGTTCTTAATCAAAAGAGCGAACTAGAAAAGGCGTTATCAAAACACAAAGAGAAGCAGCTTATGAACCAAATAAAGGAGCACAGAGAAACGCCAGGTAAAGGACCTTTCTAATCCTTTTTAATCTTATATTTTTTTATCTGTGATTACGCCAAGTTCTTTAATCTTGTGATTACAAGCGCGTATAAATTATTTATAAGTATTCAAAAACTGTAATTTTAAAAGAAGATCATATAAAAGTAGAGTAGCGATTTAAACCTTACCACGAATTTTTACACATTTTAAAATAACGTCATATTAATACATGTTTGTTATATAATATATTGATACCTTTTGAAGTAGATACATTTAAATGTAATTTATTTTTGATTATGACAAAGAGGTGGCCAGAAGATTATAGTTTCGTATATAAACGGTTTCATTTAAGACTATCCCATTATGAAATACCTACGAGTATAATAAATAAACATATTTTTAGTCTATAAATGAATAGACATTTCGAATTTGTTAGTTTTATTTTGCAACACAGCTGATATTGAGACATCGTTAATTTAACCTTTGCCGTTTTATCGCAATCGATTATGCGTCTTCATCATTTAAGTAACACTTATGTCATATTTAATTTATGAAGAAATAGTATTTTTTGTATTCATGGATGCATAAATAATGCAGATTAATGCATCTGCCTTATGTTTGAATTATAAATCATTGTATATTTTATGTTACGTAAGAAATATAAAAAACAATAAAACGGTCTATAGCTTGTAGCTTTCTTTAATACGCGGATATTACGTTTCGATTAAAGCGTCATATTTAATTTCCTTAAGTATATTTAAACTTCAGACTTAATTATAATTTAGAAAATAAAATACAAACAGTGGTTTACCTTTCATTAGAGTCATAGCCTTATATTTTTAGTTTTACTGCTAATACGAGCAAAAAGCATGTATTTTAAAATTGTAGCGAGACATTACGGCACCGCGTATGCAGGAGCCGAGTAAACGCGTTTGCCATTTCCATAACGAGAAATGTATTCGTGTTCGCGCTGTATTCAGCACAATACAATGCGGTTGCAGTTGATGCTATGATTGAATGGCCGAGTTCGAAGCGCGTCGTGTCCGGTGCACTTCATTACCTACAGTTATCTTTATAAAATATTGCATAACATAAAATATTATTTACACATTTATTAAGATAAGATACAACAAAAAAAATCTTGTACTACTACAATTTTTGATTATTTAAGTGAACTCGCAGGTCTAGACGGTCGCACTTAACGTGTTAAATGGAAGCCTGTTTAATACTAATGAGAAAATGGCGGGTAAATCGTGGTTTTCAGCCGATGCAATATTTCACCAAAGATATAATTTGGATTAAACACAAATAGTGAACTAAACTTCAGTCAAGTACCGGCGAATTCCAATACCAAAGCTATGCAACAAGTTACAATTATGTATTTATAGTTCCTAAAACCTGTCTCGTTCGATTCTATTTATGGCGAGATTCCTTGACAAGGTCGTTCAGTTCTCATTGAAGTCGTATTTTTTGTATAGAATCTATTTTGTGTTGTGCGTTAAAACGATCCGCAGACGTTTTGTTTCCGTTGCATATTCGGGCTTGCACTTCGTCCGTCTCTCTTCGCAGGTGCAGTTCGCGGCCGACGACCCCGTCAAACTGCACACGTTATTGTTTTTTTACCAACAACTCGCTAAACTCTGGTTTTTTGCTATGAAATATTTTGTAAGTCTTCATCAGCGCAACATCTTGTACCGTAAAAACTCTAACCATATTAGATTTTTTGTCCTGAAGTAATTAGAGTGTCATCTTAGAGATACGTACATCTAATGATTTCCAATAGTTATAAATAAATGTTTAACATATTTTTGGCCGGCGCGCAAACTTATTTTACTCATTTGTGTACGAAACGTAAAAATTAAAAATGCTCATTTTTTGTGAAAAATATTTGAACATTTATGAATATCCTCCTGGTGGTTTGTTTATATCGGAACATGTCCGCATGTCATCGACCAAGGTTGGATGAAAGTGAAATGGCTTGCTCGCTTCCCGTTTATCCGATCGCTTGATCGTGGGAGAAACTATTTAGTACCGCTTACATAGCAACATTAAAATACAATCGGTACAAAGACGATATTTATGCACAATGAGAGGAAAATGTTTACTTCCTATAATTCACCAACGTACTAAAGATAAGTTACAGAGACGCATTATGTTGATACTGTTAACTGACATCGGGGGAATCGTTTATAAACTTTGCACTTCACGAAGTTTTGTAAATGTTATGGCATAAACATAATTCGGCGTTTTATGACATTAAGTGAGTTCAGCCATAATGTGTGAATTGCTATGGACGAAATGTGAATTTGTAGAAATTTTTTCGCTGATATTCCACATATTGATATTATCTTTCAAGGATACCTCATTAACATTTGTTTCTTGCCTGTAATGTATTTATCTAATCACGGCATGTTATCTTTCTTTTCATCAACTCTACGTATAAATGTCGCTTCAGTGTCGCTTGAGTTATCTCAAGTGTACTTGTCTATTTTAACTTCTTTTGCAATGTTAAACACATTCCTACGATACTACTACAGATATTGCATTAACTTAAAAACAAAGTCTAATTTGGCTACCTTTTTTTTGTATTGGGTGGAAATCTTCGTAAGATACCCCCGGTCTTTTGGGGGAAAGAAAGGGTTATGTGAGATTCTTACTCACTAAAACCCCCTCGGTGGCCAACCTCAAGTGCCATTGCGAGGGTCCGGGATCTCCAAAGGAACGCACCGGAACTAGCATATTAACCTGGTGTGCAATATTTTACTGCTCCATACTGACTGACATAAACCATGTAGATTTGTAAGATATCCCTAATTTTTATATATTGGTAACAAGAAAACAAACTTACCTACTTATTCTTAATATAACAAAGAACGATTTTGTATATAGTCAGATGCGCGTCTTACTTTTCCCTTGTTTCAGTAATAGTAGGTCATTCGGAGCTTAAGACGCGTCAAGAGACTTGCAGTTCTTCGTTGCAAGTGCAAAGTCTATAGAACTGACACCCGATTGTCTGCTAATCGCTATTGGTGCTCAGTGACGCATGTCGCAAAGAACTATGAAATTCTTTGGAACTTTCATTCAGTAGACTGAAATTATGAAACGCCTTGCACTTTTAAATGTACACGTCATTTAGTTCTTGGTTTTGCTGTAATTATTCTAAAAGGGGTTTACAATCAAATTGCATTCAGAATTTTCAAAAACAAAATACAAAACTTGAATTTTGTTCGCGTCACATTAGAAATATCAAACCTTTATAGTACTAAAATTAAGTAACCGTTCTGAAAACAGTCGTACGATAAACAATAGGACCCTAAAACAATTTCTTTGAATCTTTTTTTTAAATAGTCCCGTGTCATATAAAATGACCTCCTGTTAGAATAATGGTTCGAAAGTTAACTAAATAAACAATGACAATTTATCGTTGCTGCGATACTAAAGTCTGTATTTATTACGTTAATGGCCTACGTTAGGAAGAATAATGGAAATAGACTCCGGACATTCTGGTAATTTATTATATTTCCAAAGGCGTGGTACATATGCTGGATATTTATAGTTCATGAGTAATATAACAAATAGAGTCATATAAAGAATAGAGTGGTCAGACTTTTAAACCTGGAAATGGGAAAGACTTTAAAGTTTCATATATTTTAAAACTCTAACTAGATAACTTTTGCGCCAAGATATCTGAAATTCGCTTAACTAATACAACAAATTTTACAAAAAGAAACTTACATTTTAACTTTAAAAACGTACGCGATGTGAAGAGCTTTGTAATTTGTTAATGGAAATATTTATGTATAATAGTAGCTTTGAATGGAACATTACGAGCTGGTAGTGTTTCATAGTAATGAATAACGTTCAGATAACTGTACCTTTAGTATGCAGAAGTAAAGATGTGCATGTGCATATCGAAGGGTTTAATAACGCATTCCCATGCACGTCGAGTACTACGCAATGCTGATCTGCATTTTTATGACGTATTAAAACGTAGTAAATATACTACGTTATAGTGACGTAACAAAGTATCGATGTATCAGGGGGGTTATGTTGGCTTAATAAGTTAGCCTTGTATTATGATTTTAAAAAAAACTTGTCCTTTTCAGAATTAGAAAGAGCCATAGCAGAACGTGCTCGTCGTTTAGAACAAGCAGAACAGAATGCAGAAGAAATTGATCCCGCGACCAACCCCACGCTGCAGGAGATACGGGCGCGCTTGCGACACGCTGCGCCCTCTCCCGCTGCATCCGCGCATTGAATACAAACTTCATTTATAACTATTCAATTTTGCATTGCGTAGCAACCCTTAACCATTTATATTAACGTGTTAAAACTAAACATCCTTTATAGAATTGTAGTGCGAAAATAACTTTATTAACTTTGATAGTAATATTTTAAAATATTCGTCGTGTTTTCTCGTTTAGTACGCCATCTATCGTGGAATTACAAACTTTGCATACTAGGTACCACACGCTCTTCATAGATGGCGAGTTAAAGTATGTTTTAGAGATGATTGGTGATACATAAATATCGATTTCGATTAAAATTGCGACTTAATACGTTATTTCGTGATCAAGGTATTGTAACGTTTCAAACTTTTCATATCAAAAAGGACAATCATTCTAGTCACATACCATGTTTACCAAGATACTCTGGAAATAAAAAAAATAATTAAGGTTATTTTTTACCCATAGTTCCATACAAGGATCTGGCAACTAAATAAAAGCCCTTTATTTTTAAATATTCATATAATATCGATCCAAACATTCATAATCACCAATCATCTCTATTACAGGTTGCGGGCAGCAGTTTTTAAGAAATGTATTTATAAGTTTTGTTATTAAAGTAAAACTAAAGGATAACAGACAAAGATATAAGAATATTGTTGGTTGATTACAATCGTATCAAAAACACCACAATATTACAGATGATTTAAAAGCAATGATTGAATTGCGTACTTTAAATACAAACGCTTTGTCATCAAAACTTTTAGGTAGGCGATTATTTTCTTTAAATAATTTGTAGGTTAGGAAAGTTAATATTTTTTAACGAGCATCGAAACTAAGTCACTAAAAGTGTCACAAAAATATAAAAAAAACGATTATGCGTTTTAGTTATTTTCGTGTGTATCATTAATTTGTTTATTATTTTCGTTGTACCTTACACAAAGATATAAATGCATAGACAGTACGGATCTATAAAATGTTATAGTAATTATTTTCTCCATAAGAAATAAGGCAAGTAAAAAGTGCGCCTTAATTAAGGCTTATGAGAGAGCGAGACAAGTATAATTTTTAATAACTTATTCGTAACTTAATGCTTCCACGTAAAGCCCTGTCTATGCATTTAAGTTTTTTACATTGTAGTATTAAGAATGGACACGGGAGGACGGCAAAGCTATAGTTTGTTACCATTTTACATTAAATCCCAAATCTACGTAACTAATCGAACAATCATTGACTGAGGAATCGACTGCTTGAGCTGTAATAATTTTAAGGGTAAGTGTCGACTTCGCATAAGAGAAAATATTTTTCTAAACTTTTTAACGTCTCTGATTCGACACTGGCGTAGTTCATTTGTATACCTTTACTATGTCGTTATTCTCCTTCAATGTAGTTGTACTATATCTCAAATAGTTTATTAACAATTTAAATGATTCGTGTAGTTTGTATTTTATAACAATTACGTTAGACCAGTGTATTTCAACCTTTTATATACGCGATCCCTTAGCATGTTAACATTTTTCGCGTCTGCTTCATTACCGAGACTAGAGACTTAAAAGAAGTCAAAGATTGTTATTCAAAGATTAAGTACTCGCTATTGATTAGTGGCAGATAGCGAAAAAAAATGCATTACAGTTCTTCGACGCTTTTCGAAACCCCAACAAAGGATTCGTCATCACCCAGGGGGTCGCGACGCTAAGGTTGGAAAACACTGCTTTAGACAGTAGTCATGTTGGACTTTCGAGTTACAGTTTAGATATTTAAAGATAAGGACTTTCAAATTCTATTAACAGAGTAGAAATCTTATGACATTGAACATTGACAAACATAATTATGATATTTAGAAAAATATTTGAAATCCATAATAATTATTTACTCACAGATTTTTGAATATTTAAATACCCGACTTACAATTCTTCATATTTACCAAATACATTTATAGTCGACCAGTAGCTACTTGATAATAAAGTGTTCATGAATGAATAGATGAAAATATTTTTATATATTTATGTAATGTCTATAGATTCCCTATTGTCTAAAATGTAATAAATATTATATAGAAGTTTTAAAATATTTCTCCGTTATTTGTTTCTCCGTTTTGAACACGAGTCATGTTCAAATCTTCCGTTTTATTTATAGTTTCAGTGAAGTGTAAGATATATTATTTTAGACGTTTTTTGTCGAACTACTGCAAATAACTACTACTATTTGCATATTTTATCGTAAAGAACAAATTTTATGGGTTGAGATGTTGGATAAATTTACGCTTGTTCATTTTCCATAATTTGTATCTTGTTCAAGATGGAAAAGCCTGTATTCACTAACTAATACACACCGTAGAACCGTTTGTCACCTACACAAAGAATCTCTTAAACATAATCGTTTTTCTAAAACGTAGATATAGGGTACTCGTAAGCGACCTAACGGATTAAAATATTATCTTCCTTTCATCGTCTTCGTGTAAAGCTTTAAAGGTTTTGTGTTATAAATCTTGGATATTATCTAGATTTAGAAATTAATTATGTTCTTTCCGTCGTGCCTATTTATATGATGTTGTTAATTTTCAGAGTATTATTTGATATTCATATAAATAAGAATATATATAAGCAAGGTCAGATTACTCCAAATTATGTACAACACCTACTGTCAATTTATATCCCGAGTTAAAACATTTAAATATTTATTTATCAAAGAATTCGTAGATACAAAGTTATTTATCAAAGAATGTATTACAAAAGAATTAGTTTTATCACAAAGATCGATATGTTTACTTTCAATGTATTATTTTCAATTTATTTCATGTCTTACGTTACTTGATTTAACTTTACTTAAAATATAAAGAAATTCCCAGAGTTGCCAATTATCTTATTTACACAATGATATCTAATTTTTTTTGTACTTTTCATAAATTAAAATACGAACACCAAATAACTTCATGCGATTTCTTTCTATAAGCAATGAACTTGAAATTATTGCTAAAATAAAAAAGCGTGCAGAGTCGTTTTTCATTAACGAATTTTATTGCGTTCAAAATTTTTATTGGCATTTGTGGGTTGGTTAATCCGATCTTGCGTATTATCAAAATTATGTATCATTCCACTCGTTAAATTTCACTTCTTTGTATTTTTATTTGAAAATGTTTTGTATGTATGTTTATATGTTTGTATTTAGATAACTTAGTACAAAGAGTCATCCCTGTAAACTTGTGTTTACGGATTAGTCGTGGCCATTGACTTCGATGTTATACGAAGAAAGTTAAAACTCTAGCATTTTAAGTGATTTAATCTGCGTAATAAAGTTGACGATCATAGACACTGTATCACATTTTGGTAATTTACCTAGACCAATAAAAGTGTTTTAGAAAATCTTGGTTTTTATTATAGAAACTCTATTATTTCTTGCTTTAACGCGGGCCTCACTTTTTAAACAAGACATTCGGAAGTGGTTAGAAACCTTTAAATTGATGATAATTGCTCTTCCCTGACTTCATGTTACCTCAGTATATTCTTTTTTTTATAAGAGAAGGGGGCAAACGAGCGGCAGGAACACCGAGGTGATCAACGACACCCATGGTCACCTGCAACACCAAAGGAACTGCAGATGCGTTGGAAATAAAATAAAATAATAATTAAATTACCGAATAAAAATCAAACAACTATTACATACTAACCGGGGGTTGCCATAACAAAGCACTGAACAAGAACATACTGTCATACAATTAATTCCCTTTTAAACAAGGTTATATTTAATATGTGTTTTAATGTGATAATTAATTATCGTACAGAATGCCGGAAGGAATAAGCAACAAGTACAATGTCACGACAAAGAACGCATCGAACCCGCGGGTGATAATGATCGCTAGAAAATTGTAGGGTAGGTGGAGCGTGAACGCTTTCGTTTTCGCAGGAGCATCGCAACAACGACTCAGGCGGTGGTCAGAACCACCAACCAACATTGATCCGAACACACGCGTCGCCTCTTTGTTTAGTTGCTAATTGAACATCGGCCAATCTCGACGCACTCGAACGATGTTCATAGCTTATACTTTGTAAACTCGGGAACAAAATGTACAGTAGAATAGTAATTGTAGCACTCTTAGTTTTATTAGTTCATCAAAATGTTGTGGATGCAAGAAAACAAAGGAAAACCAAGCAACCGACGGAGACAGAAAGTCCTGTGCCACAGCCAAGCGTCTTAACCTATTCAACATTTGGATTTAATGACGTTGCATCTCGGGATGGCTTTGTGCCAACTTCGCCAGAGTACTCAAATCATCATAATAAATACGAGGAATCATCGAAGAAGTTGTACGCACCTGCTTTCCCTTCAGCGCCGGACCCAGATTTTACCAGTAATTCTCAATCTTTAAATGGAGAACCATTTACAAATGCTGAAGGTGGACAACAATCAAATATGGTACAATTTAATCCTGCAAGTTTTTATAGATCTTCAAATGTTAAATCAGAAGACGGCATAAATAAAAATTCAGGTGGGGAATACAATAGGGGTTCAGAAAATAATAATAACCCGGTGTACGGAACAAAAATAAACTACAATAATAGAACCATTTCATTCAATGGATATAATAATTCAGAAGTAGTAAACAATGAACCGTATAACAATTACAAATACTCAAATTATGACAATTCTCAATATTATAATGATAAAAATCCATTACACGTCGGTTCTGTTAATTCAAACCAAAATCTATATGATTATACGACTTATCCTCCTCAAGAAATAGAAAATTTAATGAAGGCTGCTCCAGTAAGTTCACAAGGTTCGTTAAATTTCCCCAAAGTCTTAGAATATACTAATACTAAGCAGTATGACACGTTAGAAACTGAAAACAAATATTCTCCAGTGATGTCTAAACCTTTAGAAACATTTAACTCGTTAGCTAATACTGGAAGCGACGATATTCTAAGTTCTTATGAAGATAAAGCAAATAAACTTATAAAAATATCACCAGGCTTTAAAAATGTTTTAAAAAATAATATAGAAATAGCGTCCAAAGAAGTTCCAACTTCTTATCAAAGTTTTGCTAATAAATATGCCAACTCTAAATATAATGCAAAAAGTAAAAAGTTAGATTATGATTATAAAGATTTTAGGAAAAATAAATTATGGGCATCTGACAACAATGATAAAAATCACCCAAATAATAATTTGAAAGGCTATGAATATGCGAATAACTTTAGTAGCACCAGTTACAAATTTGATGAAAACAAACATAAAACACAATATAATTCTAATACCGATGAATTAATTTCATTAAGCAGTAATAACATTGGTTATTCTAACTATCACTTTCCCCAAAATGATTATTCAAATATAAAATCTACGCCAGGCATCAAACATCTATACACTGATATTAGAGAGTCGTTAACTCCAAATAATGGGAACTCGTATAGCGCTTCCGAGGATTATTTAAATAAGTTTAAAAATTTGTATGGCACTGTACCAGCATCATCAACTAATTGGGGAAATATTTTTAAGAACACTGATTACTCGTCCTATAAAACACATAATTATAAACCGACACAAGAAGCAGAAGAAAACTACGAATACGTCCACATACCTAAAAGGCCCAACAATTATAGATTTGAGAAAGACTCTGAAAGTATCGCGCACGACTGGTCTGCGTATAGCAAGAAACATAACCATGAATGGAACAAAGAAAAATATAACAACAGATTTAAATCTGAGGAGGATTTACTAGGATTAAGAAATCACGATACATCACATCCATCGTATTTACCTACATTTCAATATCATGGAAATGAGGATTCTGATGAAAGTTTCAAGGAAGCTGTAGAGAAATGGAGAGAAGATTATATAAAAACGAAATATAGAGATACACCAAACTACGATTATGAAGCTTCAGAAGCAAAACATGTGCACTCTGTGAATCCATATCAAGTAAGTGGTACATTATTCTGAGGCTAACAGTGCACATAGTTTAATTATATAGCTAGAGATGTGTCGGGTGATTTGATGTTTCTATTTAGCAAAAAAACGTATGGGATGGAATGCGGATCGGCGGTTATCGATGCGCGTCTTGCACTAATTTTCTCGCGTCATCTTGGTCATTAACACGAGGCGTCCTGGATTCTAACATAGAGTGAAATCAAGAAATTGTACAATACAACATTGGTTAACGTTTATTAGTTAACAGTAACGTCATAGTTAATTGTTTTCCTTCGTTATTTAGACAAAAATAAATAATAATTAATACTTAAATCTATTACAAGTGTCATTTTGCAATGTAAGTTATCAAAAACTAACGTACACAAACAATTACATCTTTTTTTTTTAAATTAGATTAAATAAAATGAAAAAGTCAATTAATTACTTAGCATGACAATACCAAGGAATTTATCGCGATAATTGTTTCCTATATTCCTCAATCACATTTAATTATGCATAATTACATACTTATGCTTCGTTTCTGTTGCACGAAATACGGTGACGGTAGTTTGTCTATCACGAATCATTTTACAGATAGAAGTGCCACATCCGGTGATAGTGCCAGTGCCACAGCCTTACCCGGTACGGGTACCTGTAGCAAAGCCTGTCGCTGTACCAGTAATGCACGAGGTAGCCGTACCTATAGAGAAGCCTGTACCGTACCCAGTCTACAAAAAGGTTCCCTATCCCGTTGAGAAACTGGTGCCCGTGCCTGTTGTAAAACAGGTAGTGTGCACATTGATGTACTAATATTTACATCCCCGCAAGTTTTGCTATGAAGCAATTCCCCAAACTTTTAGGAAGTTTTGAAGTGGAGAAAATATCTAAGATCCTTAGATATGACATGATATATGATGGAAAAACATAATAAGAACGCCTCTTTTTTGTAATAAAACGTGTTTAAATTGCGTGATTGAGTTTACAGTGTAATTAAAACCAAAGGAGTCGTCAACCTGTACTAGTTGGATAACTCGTGCAAGGCATTTTAATTAACTTCAATGCGATAATTAGAAGTCTGCAGTTTAGCACTCATATTATCCCAATCATTAGAATTGTAGTCAATTTTACAATTTTGAATGCACATTTAATCTATAAATCAATAGTATCTTTGATCACATTCATAATGCTAAGAATTGCACATTAGGCTTTTATGAAGTAAACCAATATAGTTAATACTGCTTATTTAGTTTGATGCACCTATACTTATTATTTGACACAGAGTGTGTCTGCTTCTATTTTTAAAATATAATGTTTAAGGTGCCAGTACCGGTGGTGAAACCTTACCCAGTAGCAGTGCCTCAAGTACGGCCAGTGTTTCACCATTCCCGGCCGTCTGCTTACCGCGAAGAGTACGATGACCACGAAGACGACGACTATTTCCCACGACCAGAGAGCAGTAATATCGTTTATAATAAAAGACCGAAAAGGTAAATGAGAATGCATAAAATAATAGACATCCTATTGCATTTAGTACTAAAAAGATTAATATTCTTCATCCGGTACTAACTAACCACGTAGTAGTCCAACGAATTATAAAAAAATATATATTAAGCTATTATTGACTCATTGATAAAACACAAAGAAAGTGACGTACGGGTTTTTCCTGCTCCAACTCAATTGTTTAAAATTTTAAAAGTGAAATATTTAGCAAGCCGTAACACATTTTTCTATAAAATATTTTTAATATTCCAACAATACAGTGGTCGCATTCGTAATAATAATTTTAATGTGCAAATAACAATTAATGTGCATGGTTGTAACTACACGCACATATTTAACGTCGACATTAACACGCATAATGCGCGAATATAGTCTTAATATGGTATCACAAAATACATGAATCTATATCAGTTTGTATTACACATTACATATTTATAAGACCAATAAATATTAACAACTAAGATGTTTGCGTGTATAGAAGTTATGTCACTGAAAGATACCGCATGTTTGAATGTTAATCGGTGAGTTCAATGACATTTCAGTCCACGAAGTCGTCAGCGAAGACCATCACGCATGTCTCACCAGGAACGCAGTAAGAACAGAAGACCGCAGAGAAGACCGAACTCGTCGCGCGAGAGAGACCAACATCGGTATGTGAAACCATCTTCAGAATACAACCGTTACAGGTATCACGACAATGATTTTGAGGACGATCATGACCATAATGATTATTTTACTTACTGTAAGAGAATTGGCAATTGTTAAAATACCTCGGTTTTCGAAGAACATCTTCCTTTGGATTTATTGTTAATTGAACTTAGTTAGATGAGTCTGAATTATAAAATAAAAACCAATATATATAAAAACGTTCCCAAATTCCTCAATTTAATAAAATAATCGTAATTTGTTATTAGTTTTCATTTAAAATGGAATGTTACCTGCTAATGTCTTTGTAAATATTGTATTTTACTTTATATTTTGAAGTCGTGTGTATTTTATGTTAGTACATATTTTAAGTTAATTTAAAGTTAGACATTATGTCAATAATAAATAGTTATAATTTAGTATTATTATGTTTATTAAGTAAAGTTGTTTATAAAAAGTATCAATTGTTTTATTTTATTAAATTCAAAATTCGGTTCTGGTAGATGAAGACTTGTATTATAAAAGATGATCGATACGAAATAGAAGAGCTATGTTATGGTCGTTTGAGGGCTAAAAGTAGCATTGCGCATCTCCCGTGCTATCGGTGCAGTAGTTCGCAACAATTAAAAATGTTGCAATTTAACTAAAAAAAAGAAGTCGCTTATCGTAAAATTAATAACCACAATTATTATTGTGCGTTTATAATCTGTACGATTTACTACACAACGCAAGAGAATAGAGCGCGGTTGCGCACGGATGCTTGCTTTTACCTACGCTCCGCTAAGCAGACATCTCGCATGTTCCATCACAATTGTCACGCTGATAATTCCCTTAAAAAAATCCTTTGATGATAAAACTCTTAGATACGTAATAAACAGACTGTGTAATGAGGTAAAAACGCCTGTCAAAAGTCGGAAGCAAATGTACATACGAGGGTATTAAAGTTAACAAATTATTAAAACTATTTAGAAATGAAAACAGATATACTGAGAAACATTTCCAATTCGATTACCTTTGTACTCATTAACAAATAATCACTTCAAATGTGAGTATATTCTTGCTTTTTCTAAATTATTTGTTGAATTTGCAGGATTGACTTTATATCTTATATCTTTAAATGAGCAATTCTTGTATATATGTTCATATATAATTGGAATCTCGGAATTGACTCCAACGATTCTCATAAAATTTAGTATATAGGGGGTTTCGGGGGCGATAAATCGATCTAGCTAAGAATCATTTTTAGAAAATGTCATTTTATTCGTGTTTTACCGATAATCAACTTAAACATAAACTTAACTTTTTCTATCGGTAAGATCGAAAAATATTCATATTTCATCATTTTATTAGTAATTCGTACTTAAATATAATTTCCAAAAAACACAATTTAAAAAAAATCATCTAGTCATCCGGTCATCCAGGTACTATGTCCTATTTGCCCAATTACTAATGACTAATATTATGTGTTTTCTAGAAGTATCAATATGACTACTTATATTGTTTTGTGGTATATCAATGCAGAATAAAAACCTATTAAAATCATTACTTACGACGAAGCTATATAATCAACGATGTTAAAAACACGTTATTACTTGTGTACGAAGTAAACAATTACATCTTCATGTTGTTATTATTTTATATCGTTTCAACATTGTAATAAAGTTTTTTTAGGGTTTTTACAATTCTAGATTGGTTAACTACTACAACCATAGCAGTTTCATTTGGACTAGTGACTTCTTTTCGGATTAGATATATCTACACTAAAGGACATTTTAAGTTTAGGTTTTTAGTTTACATATGATGAATTAAATCAATCATCTATCTCGATATTAGACTACACAGTATGACGTAACATTTATCAAACAATGTGATTAAACGTACTAAATAAACTTGTAACTTGTTATTCCTTATGGTGTTTAATATAAATAACTTGTTTGGTCACTTTGCATTTAAATGTTTGGAATTTCGATGATACATTTCGTCTTCCTTACTTGCAATTTACTTTCCTCATGGAAAATTCCGCAATCAGCAAGTAGTCTGAAGATATTTGTAATAAACACATTGTTACTGACATAATTGATTATTAGATCACCCTTTAAGTGAATCCCTGATATTATTAATTTCAAGATACAGGGAGGTAATAAAAATCTATAAAACTCCTTTTATTTTCAATGATACCTTTTTAATGTTCATAGGGGAAAATGGGATCTTAAGTTACTTTGTCATTAATCGATCACGTTGCGTTTATTCATATGTCCAATCAATATTCTAAGGTCGTAATATATAGATATATATTTATTACAGTAATATTTAATGAAAAGATAAATTTTTAAGACATCATAAATTGCTATGTAGGATGCAACAAGGTACTTTTGACCGAAGGTAAATTGTAAAAACGGTGGTGGTAGTACGGTGGAAGAAAGGAATAGCCCGCTGTAATAAAATTATGTGTGACTATTAAGGAGCCAACACACATGTTATCTTCAGTAATTACAGACAGCACCTTTACGCTGTCGGATCACAATTTGCAATCGCCGCTAAATATTACTTTTATTTATTTCTAAGTTTGTAATTTAACATCCTTTTTCCTTTATGATCAAACCTGGCAGTTATGTCGATAAGGAAATCTACTCGTTGCAAATAACGGTTGGCACAAAGTTTTGTTTATGAATTGTTAATATTTTCACCGCAATTGACGTCATTCGGTGACAATCGAATGTGCTGTTGATGCATCTTTGCATATAAAAAGCTCATTCAACTAATCGTGGGTGTATGAGACCAAAATCCTTCTATAAAAATATTGTTATGTATGTTTTGTCAAAGATAATGAGAGGGATGACGATATGTTTTAAACAGGGTTTTGCTTATCAGAAACCAACGATAAGCGATCTATTAATATAATTAAATTTACATTATACACTTGCGAATTTGCTAGATTATTTTCTTTTTATCTTCAAAATTCTATTCGATACCGGAAAATCGGTATTTATTGACAACTAAACCTGAGTAAAATGCTGCACAAAAGTGAATTTCAATATTGAAGGCAGAGCTTTAGCATACATTAGTAATTTAATAAAAGATTTAAACCTTTTTTATTTTATTGCTAATTGCAAAACGTTCCGTTGTACGTTATTTTATATTTAACAGTACAACAGTATAACTGTTAAGATGGATTTAGCAATACGAAATAGTCACGTGTTTTACACATTAATGTCGAAATGCGTTAAAATTTGCACGTACGCAATCAAATGCTGATGGACAAGCAATTGCTTGGAATGAATGAAAAACGGATGCGTCGCTAGTTCGACCGGCCTTGAATAATCCGAGCCGAATTTGCACCGTTGCGTTCCACGTAATCGACAATTTTAAACTTGACACAGTAATAATAGGTCCGTTGCTTTGACCGGTCATCCATACGATAATAACTGATTCACGTACACAACAACCAAAAATATTCAACATATTGATATTGTTGTAATCACCAAGCGTTTTATACAAGGTAATGTAGGATAACATATCACATATAGACAAACCCACTTCACAGGAAATCCCACGAAATCAAATCACAAACAGAATTGATTAGTAAATTAGTATAATATAATTATCATTTACTTTAACACCTATGTATATATATCTTAAACATGACTTAATGTTCCATAAATGAACCGAATGAAAGCTGTGTTATACAAAAATGAAGAAGCATAAACTCGGCAATGTTCAAACATGTTACAAGGATAATTATCGAGGCTTATTCTTTTGTTATATCAAAAATATACTGCTACAGGTACTTTTAATAATGAAAACCTTGCTGGTTGTTGGAATTCAGTTAAATAATAGTATAAAGTTAAATAATGTGAAGCTGTGAGAATGAATTCAATTGGATGTCATCTAATTTTCAAAGGTACAATGCGTATTGTGTACCGAATTTAAGGCCAATATATAAAGAGTGGTGACACCGAGATTTGCTTAGTCTGTGACCGCGGCCCCGTGCAGTCGGTTGCCATTTAACCTCGTCTCAAATACACGTAAGTTGAATGAATGTGAAATAATTTTATTTTTTTTTACAATTCTTTCTAGATTGGTTTTTATAAAATTGATTATTTAGTGAAAGAAAATTGTATCGAGAGAGTGCTTTTGTTGTAATACTACAATACAACTTTGTAAGTTATCCTATTATATATATTTATTAAGTACATAAAGTAACTTAAATCAAGTTAAAATGGAAGATTTTTTCACTTCCTTTTGAATAGTGCATGTGTAATTACTGTGATACTTTCTTAAAATTACGGATCTTGTCTTAGTCAAATTTTAAAAACTTGACAATAACATATAATTTTTTTACCTAGACCAATAAGTTTAAAGCGATTAATGTGTGTATTGTTATTAGCGGTTACTAAAACTTTTTCCACTGTCACTTCTACAGCAGAAGAAGCTTAAAAGTAAATAATTTTATATCACGTATTAAGCTATAAGTGTGTTATTTAAATAGTTGTTGTGGTCATTTGAATTCATTAGTCGCAACCGTTCGCCAGCAGGCCTTGGCGGTCGCCGGCAGCCGTGACTTGCTACATTCTCTTCTATCTCTCATGTCTAAAGGACCTTTGAATCGGAAGACCAGTTGACTTTATGCTACTTCCTGATTAAAGAAATAATTGGAATTTCTGCAAATCGTACGAATTATTTACATTGTTAAGCTTGTTAAGTGATTCTAGAAAGACTAAACGAGTTGATGGTAAATATCGGTTTTCAACTCAAGATGTTACGTAGTCTTACTTAAACTATCTTATCCGAAATTATTTATTAAGAATATATATAATAGAACCCGGAGCACAAGAGTGAGGCAAAGAATAATTTTCCTCAGTTTTGTTGTTTACAATATAAAATGACCTTTCGTAAATCGACTCACGATTAGGCGTCAAACTTGTATAACTCTATCTATATGTAATATTATATCTATGTATGTATGATTGGGAATATTTCATATGTATAAAATATTATGATGAGAACATAACAATCCCCATATTGACATTTACTTAGGCGAGGTAAATAGTAAACGACTAGACAAGTTTAGTTTGGTTAGGCTTAGTATCGACAAGTTTTTTAACCTGTGATATCATCATTTTGCGTGTAACTGCACAATTCAACTTCCTTTGATTGTGTCTCTTTGGTTTTCCCAACGGAAACAGGAATATAACAACGCCTTTTTTTGTCACAGCAACGGTACATCTGAGGTGTAGTCTCAGACACCATACAAAGTTGAGATGATATTCATTGTTATGAAGCCTTTCTTTTTTATTTACTTTACGCTTCTTTATCAAACAATGGATTTCTTACAGAAGTCATTCGATACATAGGTTTTATAACTGCAATAATTAGCATTATATTAACATCAGTAATTTAATTTGTTTAGCGTTCTGATTGCGAAGCTTGGTGTTGTGGATTCAATCGGTGAATAAACTATTATCTGTTCGTCGTAGCGATTCTATCATTTTAAGAATGAGAAATAGACGAAAATAGTATAAACTTATTAGAAAATAAGTTGATAAAACTCCGCGATCTGATATGATCTGTGATATTTGTTATATAGGTATGTTAATGATATATATTTTGAAAAGTCTCTTACCAAGAAAAAGCTCGTTTAACGTTACAGAGTAACTTAGTCCCTTAGTCTTTTATTTTTTATTAAGTTATAAATCGCTTTTCGTTGTTAGTGTGTTTAACGTAGACGTATTATAACAAATCATGTCATGAGTCGAGAAATTAATTAAGATGAATAAAAGCAGCGCTCCTATTGTTAGTTGGAGCTCGTTAGTTGATCTTATGTAACATGTCACAGTTCCCAGCAATTGGAACGCATAACGAGACATGTCTAGATCTACAGATAAGACAGGTTCAACATCTCGTTACCCAATAGCAAGATCATTCACAAAAACGTGACCATTTATTGTAGTTCCGAGTTCTCTGTCCCATAATACATCATAGTTGTGACATAAGAGGATTTATTGAAGTTTACTCATTCAAAATTGGTAATTATATGACATAAAGCTTAATATCATAATTTTCAAGCTTTCGGCATACGGAGTTAAAAAGATTTCGTACTCTTCGTGATTATTTCATAGGTAGCATTGATCAATAATAGTCAGTAGTAATTCAATTAAAATTGGTGGCCTTCACATCAACAGATCCATAAAAAGCTACAGCTCAATTTGTAACTGCATAGAGTTATGTTTTGGGTTTAAGCTGCGAACTGCGAGTCACCTCGCAGGCAGCTCTCGGCTCGTCGACCAGTCATAAGTGCATTGCGATGAGCTGTGAGCTGCCAATTTAGTTGTTGACGCAGGTCAACGGTTCAAGTTTCTACTTCGTACTTTGAAACTTCGTACTTTTGAACCAGTTCAACGCTGACATACACATGTTTATCAGTCACATGCTTCATTCACAGTATAAAATATTTACGAATAAAATTGTTTCAGATATCACAATGCGGGCAATATCTATTGCCTTAGTGTTTGCGGCGCTATCCGCTTGCCAAGCCGCAACGCCGGAACTGCGTTTTGAATGGAAAGTAGTCGACTACGTTTGGGAATCCCCAGCTCAAAGAGAAAAGGCTATAACTGAGAAACAATTTTTACCCGCAAACAACTTACCTTTAGGATTAGGTCGCTGGAAAAACAAATTATTTATCACAGTCCCTAGATGGAAAAGCGGTGTGGCTTCATCCCTGAATTATGTCGATTTAGACGGACCGTCGGACCAACCATTGAAAGCATATCCGTCATTGAAAGATAACCTGGTACCGGACAGAGCAACAGAATTGCCATCGAATAGTTCCATTATTTCCGTCTTCAGAGTCTATGTTGATCCTTGTGACAGACTCTGGGTCATGGACTCTGGTTTGGCGGATATTTATGGTGAGTGGAAAAATACACCGTTTTTATACCTAATAAATACCTACCGAACGTACAAAATTCAGTTTTGTTTACGGAGGTCATTTTTAGCTCTGTTTGTACCCTCAGCTCGCCACGTATTAGATTGAAAAAGGTTGATAAAAATGAGAAAGTCAGTCATCTTTTGCGTCGAAAAAAGTTGAAACGTATATAGGTTAAGGCGTGAAATTATGGCGATGTTGCATTGTTACCCTGACATATTTGGGATTAATTACTTAATATTGTTTCAATTGAGCAATAAATACTTAAAATATGTTAATTTCATATCGCAAAAACATAATTCAGCGAATTTATTAGTAGATATATTATGTATGTACGTAATAATGTTTAGAAACTTCCTTGTCGGTTCGTGGCAATATAGTATCCGTCTGCGCTTATAACATTTGATTGGAGCGTTAAAAAACAATTTAATGAAGATATTGTTTTTGTTTTTTACATTTATTTCGATTGAAAATCAAACGCTGCGTTTGAAGCAAAGCAACCGAAGATTCTATCCGAGATTTATAGACGTTTTTTGGTGTCATTTTACTAGTTACATGTATGTATTTGTTTGCAGGAATAGGGAACCAGGTTGCAGGTCCTTCTTTGGTTATTTTTGACTTGAACACTGACCAACTTCTTCATAGATATTTTTTCAAAGTTAAAGACATGAAGGAAGACTCATTCTTTGCTAATGTCGTAAGTAATTTATATCAATAACTATAGAAAGATTTAGTAACGATTTAAAGATTAAATTTAGTTAGTTAAATTGAAAAAGTTAAAATGTCGCCATATATTCTCATCACTCTACTGTTTATAGTATGAAGTATACATCCGAAACTTTTTGTAGGTGGTGGATGTAGACAAAAACAGCTGTGACAACGCGTTTGCGTACGTACCTGATTTGGGAGGCTACGGTGTTGTTGTGTACAGCTTGAAACAAGACGACTCGTGGCGTGTGGCCCATCACTACTTCCACTTCGAGCCGCTAGCTGGCTCTTACAAAGTTGGAGGCATCGAGTTCCACTGGACAGACGGCGTCTTCGGTCTAGCGCTGTCCGAACCTAGAGAGAATGGGTGAGTCACGTACGGACCTTGGCTTGTTTTGTGCATATTGAATAGTACAACCGGGTTACGTTCTATACACAATGAATACAAATAGTTTACGGTATCGAACTGACCACGAACAGTAGATTGTATTTACAAATTACAAATACAAGTACCGTTAGTGACCTTCGCAATCATATCATAAATAAATCAAAAACATAATATAAATCTAGTAATTTACGTATCGACAATTATTTTAAAACCGAGATACTAATAATCGAAAACAAGAGTAACAGTGTACGCTAGTGACATTGACACGAAATTGAAATTTGTTGTCCGAAGACGAGGCCGTAGACGATCCGAATGTATTTGTTGTATTAAATTGCATCGCTTTGGCATTCAACGTGCATTTAATTGAAGCTTCATTCGGTTGCTTTCAATTTATATTACTACTACTTAAGTGTGTTCAGATCGCTCCATTTTTGTGTGAAGAACCAAAGGTTTTTGAATACGTTTTCGGATGGAAATTTAAGGTGATGCATTAACTTAACGAATTTCTTTTAGATATCGCACCATGTTCTTCCATGCCTTCTCCAGTACCAAGGAGTTTTGTGTATCAACTGAGCTCCTGCGTAACTACACACATATCGACAAGTCAGAAGCGTTCAATGATTTTAAGGTTTGTATCAAAAGATTTATACACTTTATTCTAGATTATTCCATATAGGAAATATAAGCATTTCTTTTGAGAATATAACTGGCGATAAGCTGAGTTCCGTAATATTTCAATTTTAATAATCAAATCGTACCTTATATAATATTACCGTACCTTAGTGTTTTCAATGGTAGAATAGTTTGTTTAGTGTTTTCATCAATCTCAAACAATGAGTAGTTATTTTATTACGAGATTTCACTTGCGATAAGCATATATGCGCTATTGTGCAAGCTATTGTTTTCCTATACTCATTACCATTACGCCTGGAGTTGCGAAGACTTAATTTATAGATTGATAACACAAATAGTTATAGTTCTGAATGAAGACAGGCGTGAAGTGGAAGCAATTCTGCGTTTCATCTGATGAGTGTGCGTCCCGGAGACCTTATTTAGTCCTCTTTCCGATCCCACCTTTTTTCTTATGAGGAAAGGATGGGAGGTGGAAGTGGACTTTCCGGATGAGAGGATGCATGGAAAGGGAAAATACTTTCTTTCTGTGCATCCTCTCCTCCGTCGATTAAAGGTAGGCAACGCATATGCAATTACGTATGTCTATGGGCAACGGTCACTTCGCTATTTCAGCGATTTCAGGTGGCCGCTCGCTCGTTTGTCACCTAATGATATAAAAAAAAGGTTTTTTTTGGAAAGAGAAAATTACAGCAACAGATTCTGATAAATTGCATATGATAGGTATTTATACCTACATTTAAACATGTATCTAAACATATAGCTTCATGTGAACAACTATAGAACGAAATGTACAAATGAAATAAAATAATATTAGCTTGTTATAATTTACGCCCAATTTAAAACAAGCTCAAACAGGGTTACTTCCATATTATAGTAAAATTAAAAAGAAACAAGAGAGCGATTTCATTACTTTATATTTAAATAGTTATGTTAAGTTTAAGAAATATGTTGTTCGAATTATTTCCGCTTCCAACATTGTATGGCAAAAACATGAACTTCTGTGCACTAGTGAAGGTGATCAAGTTACGTCAACTATTGATCAACAAGAAATGCCAATACAAACAATGATTCATAACATAAACTTTAATACCGGCTACGAAACAAACCATGTATATATAAACTTACCTAATATACTTATGTAATGTTAACCATTGAGGCTTTTTATGAATCGAATGTAATATTTCTATAGAGAATTCATAGATCGCGATTTGATTAAAGATTTTGGATTTCAATTTGCGCAAATCACGACATTCCTGAAGTTTTAAAACGTTAATAATATATTTTTCCTTTTTGCTTACAGTTATTAGGTGACAGAGGGGAAAGGACTCAAGCGTCCGCCAGTTTCTACGATGAGAAGAATCGCGTTCTTTTCTACACTCAGGTTAGGAACATTTTTATAACTTATAATCAAAAGAGAACATTGAAAAAATTCGCGCATCAAATCTAAAGCGCCTTTAAAAATAAAATAGATAAAATTAAATCAGATAATTAATATATTAATTAAAAATTGTTTATATTTGTGTTCACACTTTTAAACCCCAATTTATTTTCAAAATGAAAATTTTAATTGACATATTCATTACTTCTAGGTCAATCGCGATGGCGTCGGTTGTTGGAACTCAAACAAACCGTACACACCAGAAAACAACCCACTGCTCTTCAGTGATCCTGAACTCTTTGAGTTCCCTAACGACCTCAAGGTGAGACTGACCAAGTATTTTTGTAAAATATATATGAGACAAGTGTAGCTCCGAAGTTTTGTATCACGCCTTTTTTGTACAATGTCCTATTTTGAACGAGTAGTACACGTGTTGATATAACCACTGAAAATGAAAATGGACATAAAAAATACGTTGCACCGTCATCTTCTTCATTGTTCGGTATTATAAAACGTTTAAATTGATTTATATTGTTATTTTCAGGTCGACGACGAAGGAACTTTGTGGGTTCTGAGTGACAAATTGCCTCGTTTCCTTTACAAATCACTTGATGCAAACCAAGGAAACTACAGAATATTTAGCATAAACACATCTGAAGCTATTAAAGGCACTGCATGCGAAGCATAATAATACAAGAATTTTTTGTAAGGTGTATTTATATCCACGGATCCAAAAGTTACCGTCCAATATCACCAAGTTAACAACTTAAATTATGTCTAGGCTAGTTTGACATTAGAGTTAAACAAAGTAGCAGTACTTTACGTTAACATTTTTTTACACATTAGTTTTTAAGTTGTTTTATAGGATTAAGACTTCTTGACAACATCCATAATGATTTAAGTATCACGGTATCTCTATATTTTCTATGAGAATGTCAGCGATAATATGTATACATACAAGTGTTAGTTCAGTGGAGTTCTCGTGTAAAATACACGAGTATTCTTTACTACCATCAATGTAATATTCATGTTGTGTTTGCACATTGCTTTAACCATGTTAAATCTCGATTATAATTCCATTGGATTAGGGATTGATTAAAGCATTGTAAAGTAATATTATTTGAATACACATGAACAATAGGCCGCATGCAAACGTGCATTTAATCTCTTATCAATCGTATATGTTACCTAAGAGTTTATTGAACCAGTAGATGCTTGTTTTCAAGAGAGAAGTATGTTCTGTTCTGAACATGGCACTTTTAATGTTTCTTTTGAGTTAAACTGGACTAAAAAAAAGACAGTAATGGAAACCATCGGGTTATGAAGTTTTACTGTTATTAGAATGAAAGAAAAGGTTTTGTACTTCAACATAAATTATTTTAATGTCAATTAGAGGTCAACTCTGGGTTTATGATATGAAATGTAAAGAAATAAATGAAAAGAATACATTGACGCATTTGTAGTTATTATCTACTTATGTAATTTGGTTTATCGTTTAAGATTTTAATAAAATATTACATAATAATATTAAGAGTTTAAACATCAGTTTTTTTATATAAACATTATTTAGTAATATAAAATCAACTGTTAAAATGTTTCGATTTCGATACATTTTGTAAGACAATTTAACGACACGAATCAATAATAAAATGATGTGATATTAATTTAAAAATGTGTTTTATTTATGGGAGGTGTTGTTATGTTAATTATTTTCTTTTATCAGGATACGTATAACAAATATGTCTCAATAATACTACATAGCAGTGATTCCTAATGGGCTTGATGTATCTCTCAAGGTCCACGAAGGCCGAGCGGGATAAACAACGGCGGGAAACAAAATTAAGACTCCATAAATTCAATTAGAAATGTATCAACAGGCATTTTAAACTTATACCAAAACTTATAAAATGTTGTACATGATAATGTGATAGAAAGAACGGGCGTGTGGTTTTTTATATTTTTAAATGAACCCTAAAAATAGTTTCGAAATATAACGTCTATAAGATTTAATTTGGGCGACGAATGTAAGTGTGCTTTCCGTTTACACAAAGATTTAGATATTAAGTATTAGCATAAAAACAACATTTGCCATCAAAAATATTGTCGAAGTCTAACTAGTCACAAACAATCTAAATAAAATATTTAACCAAATTACTTAACGATTTATTTTAAGACTGATTAGTTACAATCAAACAATATAGTGTTTGTTTTTAAAAATGTGCCTTATGTGTACCGAGGGAGATAATAACGATTGGCTTCGGTGTTATTAAGGCGCGCGCGACGAAGTCACATTCATTCGTCGCTAGGTCTTCCTACCGTGCACTTATTCAATATGTCGACTAAAAATGAAAAAGTTGGAATCGTGGGCAGGTCAGTCCTTTTATACACTTTCACTGTAAAACAACAAATTACTTTCTCGGTTTCACTTCCATTTACTATAAGAACTTATTTCTGGATCATTTTAAGTATTATGTTCTCTTTGCATTCTCAATTAGTTCATTGAAGTTGTGTAATAAATATTTTTGTAACAGTTAAAAGAGAAAGAATCTAGATATCCTGAAATAACTTAGCATATTAGTTCTTTCAAGTTTTGTTCATAGATAGGTAAATAAATAGAACATAAATATTTACTACCGCGCAAATAAAATTTACCATCGCGTTAAACGTGTTTGTATATAATGTTAAACCTTAGGTGACTACATTTTAATGCTGTTTCATCATTATCGACCAAGCCCCATTACTGCTAGAAGTAGGCCATCGGTAGAAAGGCAAAGATCGCTTCATTTATTGGATATACAGAGAGTTATCCAGAAAAAACCTTATATATTTATGGTAACAAACTTTAAAAACAATTGTGGAATATTATTAGTGTTAACTATTTGTTTAATTGTTTTCTTAGCACTATAAATGCATATTTAAAATACTCTAAGATATGACCTTTACCTAGATGATTCTTTGGTACGATGCTTGATTATCCGAATGTTATTTTCTGTTTCATTTGTAGTGGTAACTTTTTAATTTCATTTCATGTTACCAAAAAATACCAAATTCAAGAAACTTTCTTATTTGAATCCACCGATTTATGAGTAAAAATTCGAAGTTTTCTTAATAACAAGCAATATTTGTTAATTAAAAATTTTCAAAATTAAAGGGCACTTTAAATTAAATATTCAGAAGAAGTGAGGTCATTTGACTTTACTTGGGATATAATCCATACATTAAACAAAGTCCATGTTTTCGATTCATCGACGATTATCCTTTTAACCTTATTTCTTTCTCAGCACAGACAGCATCGTTATTTCCTTTATTGTAAAGTTATTAAAGTTGAAATAGCTAGTTACGTTCGCTGCAATCGAGTTATATAATATTCTCATGAGTTTCTCAAGTATCAAGTACTACTTTTAAAGGAAAATTTCATGTTGTCTGATAAAATTATCTAAGGGGTCAAAAGGCTAACAGACATGTATTTGTATAAGATTTCGAATGGGTCTTCAAGTCCTTGGCCTTGGTCAATGACTGCCATTAATGTTATAATGAAATAAAATCTAAAAATGTGATTAAAAAGTAATTTATTGACATCTTGTCTTGCATCAAAAAGGGTAAAAGTAGAGTCTATCTCATATACTTTTTCTAGTAATATTTTATCTATCATGAAATATAACCGGTTACATTTAATATATCTACTAAAATTGTATTTTTCAGTGGCCTGATTGGAAGATCATGGGCGATGCTGTTCGCTTCCGTGGGTTACCAAGTAACTGTGTTTGATATCGTGCCACAACAAGTCACAGATGCCCTTGAAGACATCAAGGTGCAACTAAAAACTTTGGAAAAGGACGGTCTCCTGCGTGGCACACTGAATGCGGACCAGCAATTTAAATGTATCAAAGGTTTGTCTCCATACTTTTATTCTAAATTAGATTAAAAGATCAAAGAGTACGCAGTTTGTTATAGACTGCATAATTTAATTACCGTAATTTTAATAAATTATTGGTCCAATTAAGAAATGAGATCAATGACATGGTGATAATATTTTTTAAGTAATAAATTTACGAAAGCATTATCTTTGTAGCTTTTCTTTAAATACATGTTTATTACGAATGTAGCGTAAAAATTTACATTAATTACTTACAGGATCTCTAAATTTTTTCCATTTTTATCACATCTAGTAGTGACTGTGTACACAGTGCAATCAGAGTAAGTCAATATCGCATCATGTAAACATAATAAGTGTTTCCGATAAAAATCTCATTAAAAGTAACGAGTGCTTCGTACAAAATATCGTCTTTTATTACGATACGAATATGGCAGGCGCGAGCTTAACATATGCTTTGAGCATTCTTTTCCTTCATTTTATATAAATTACGTTGTTTTTTTTTAATTTTGTATATACCCATTCCAGGATCGACAGATTTGGCAACTGCCGTCAAAGACGCCATATTCGTTCAGGAATGTGTACCAGAGAGCTTAGATTTGAAAAAGAAGGTATTCCAAAATTTAGACCAAGTGGTGGACGATAAAACAATTCTATCAAGTTCCACCAGTACTACTGTACCATCTTTGTTTTCTGAAGGGTTGAAACATAAAGCACAGGTGAATATGATTTCTTTACGTACTTGTTTCATCGATAATGTAAGAAGGTTCTTATTGTTATTATTTTTTTAAATCATTTAACATGTTAAAGCTATGCTACAACGCACAGGGTCGTGCCAAATACTTAGTACTGTTAGAAAGAAAATCCGACAATGGGTATGACTTGACTTGGTAATGAAATCGCGCCATTCGCGCTAAAGGTTTCTACTCAATAATGTCTAAAAGTACGACAACATTAAGGTGGAAAAATAAAAAATCCAATTTTTATCGATTTAAAACAACAACAATAAAACGTTTCTTTAGGTCATCGTGTCTCATCCAGTCAACCCGCCATACTACGTGCCATTAGTTGAAATTGTGCCCGCTCCTTGGACTAAACCGGAGGTAGCAAAGAAGACAAGGGAAATAATGATTGAAATTGGACAAGAGCCCGTCTCGCTAACCAGAGAACTCGAAGGTTTTGTCCTTAATCGCATCCAGTACGTATTTTAAGTATAAGATTTTTCATAATCGGCTTCGTCTTTAGTCTGTGTTCTACAATAGATTTTTTCTAAAGCCATATAATGAAAATATTTAAACCAGATGGTGTAATTCAAAATACCTACACTATTAATTGTACATTTTGCTTTTCAGATACACGATCCTAAACGAAGTGTGGCGGTTAGTCGAAAGTGGGATTGTAGATGTGCAAGATGTTGACAAAGTCATCTCTGAAGGTCTTGGCATGCGGTACGCCTTCCTCGGGTCCCTCGAAACTGCACATTTAAATGCTGAAGGAATGAAGAGCTACATTGAAAGGTAATGTCACAGGATCATAACCTGAGTTAAACAGCATAGTTATTAACGTTACATAGGTGATTAGACTGAATGTCAAAGCTAGTAAGAATAAAGTCTGATTTTAATACTCTTCTTTTTAGTAGCACGTAATGCACTCGCCCAAAATTACTTAATTATAGTATTACATATTTATAATTTTTCTTTCAGATACGGCGATACTATTTATGAAGTGAGTAAAACGATGGGAGATATACCGAAGATGACGCAAAGCAAAGCAGCCGAAAATATTTGCAATCAATTGAATAGGATGGTGCCAATCGAGAAGCTGCAAGAACGACGCGCGTGGAGGGATGCTTGTCTCACACGTTTAGCGTTACTCAAGAAAGAAATGAAGCAATCCTTTAAAAAATAAGTGTGTCGAATATATTTTCTGAATTGTTATATAAAATTATAATTTTCTTTATTAAAAAACTTTTCTCAATATTACTTTATTTTATTACAATTTTACTGTTATATGACTTGTTTAACTAAAATGATGACTGAGATTTGTATGCAAAGAATGAATAAATAAATAGCTAAGATCAAAAATGCTCACTTGTAAATATCTAATCATGTGTACCTACTTCAAGTCAGTCATAGGTGGGTACGTAAAACAAGACCTCATGCTTCCGCTCAATTACGAAATGTATGTACAATAATGAAAAGATAGATATTGTTTGTTAAATTCGTTTAAAACCTATTTTATTGCTTTTCATTTAGGCAGTTAAATTATTTTTATGCTATAACGTTCCATTGTTTTTTGTTAATCGAATGTTTGAAAATATTTAAGAAGAATTATCATCTTACTTGGAAAATATAATGTCCGTTCAATTTTCTTGCTTCGTGGTATTTATTTACACTATTACACCTTCGCACTTGACCAATTTTTTAAATTTCAAATTCACTGACTTCTATGGCCTCATACCGCGGGAACTTGTAAGAGCAGCTACGTTTGCTAAAATGTGTTGCCCTATTCATTGTTTATACTCGTCCAATGCTGAGTACATGCTACCCTTTTATTTTATTATGAATAAATCTAATTTGCACATTTATTTGGAAACCTTTTGCCTATAAAACGTAAATCCATTGAAATGATTACTTGTTTGTTTTAAAATAATGACGTTTTATCTGTATAACTATTTATTTTCATTGATGGATTGGTATGCTTCTTTGTTTTATCTGTGCGCTCGTTACAATGTTTCAACTCATATGGATTCATAAATTTATTTACCTTCAATCTTTTCGAATAAAAGCATAATTTTTATAAAAATCTTTATTCCATCATGTATGGAAATAATATATTTTGAGAAATGTGTAAATTCATTTTATATTTGTCGTAGTTTATCACAGCGGTGGGCCTTGCAGCGAATATAGACTTATTGGAGAGTGTTCCAAATGTATTGTTTTGATAGATAATGGATCCAAGAATGTGCAGGCAAATCAGTAGTAGTGAAAGTCTTCCAGATGCAGAGAACGTGGAAGTGGAGGAGTCGAATATTATCATGCCACAGGAAAGTGATGATAATTTTCTTCTAGACGGTAGCCCGGAACCTCACTTGGTAACATGGCTCGATGACGACCAAATCGATGATTTAGATATTAATTTAGACCAAAATAACCTATTTTTTCATAGAGTTGATAGTGCAGATATAATATACAGAAATAAAAAGAAAAAATGTAAAATGGTAGGTAAATATGTAATGGGTGACGTGTTGGGCGAAGGTTCATATGGAAAAGTAAAGGAGATGTTGGATTCAGAGTCTTTGTGTAGACGAGCAGTTAAAATATTAAAAAAGAGGAAGTTGCGACGGATACCAAATGGTGAACAAAATGTGCAGAGGGAGATTCAGTTACTGCGAATACTTAGACATAAAAATGTGATAGAACTAGTCGATGTTATGTATAATGATGAAAAGCAGAAGATGTATCTAGTAATGGAATTCTGTGTTGGAGTGCTTCAGGTATAAAGTTGAAATTAAGTGATAAGTAAATAAAAATTTCACCTTGTTATGTTTTTAATGAGATTAATTTTGTAGGACATGTTGGAATCAAGTCCTGGCAAAAAGTTCCCACAGCGGCAGGCTCATGACTATTTTACACAGCTGCTTGATGGCTTAGAATATCTCCATGGGCAAGGAGTAGTTCACAAGGACATAAAGCCAGGGAATTTGTTATTAACTCTCAACCAAACTCTTAAAATCACAGATTTTGGTGTTGCAGAGGTATGTTACTACTTCATTCAATTATTTTTGTATCATAACCACCATTGACTTTATAACATGTTTCATTATGAAAGGTATGTTACTCATAATTAAATCAATTATTACTCAAGTCTATATGCAGATACTAATAATCAAACTATTTTATTGCTTCAAGTAGTGTTCAAAGTTGTTTCTTTAACTCACCATTTAGGTTGCAAAATATTACTATGTAGGATGAAATAAATAATGATAGTATTTTAATCTATGAAATGTTACGCAGTAATCAGTTGCTAATGAATCATGTCAATGTTCCTCCAAAAATATCAGTAATTATCTTGCTTCTATTATAAATGTGAAAGTTTGGACGGATGGACATTATATAGTATCTTTAGAATAGTTGTATGGATCTCATTGAATTTGGAGAACATAAAGGCTACCAATTAGGTGTTTTTTTTTAACTCAGCACTGACGGGGTCATAGGAGACAGGTAGTTTTAATATAAAGTCCATCTGTATCTATGAGTACTTGAGGTACATAATTACCACAGATGACTGTTTACATGGCTTTACTTGATAATGTGTGATTCATAATTATTATTCACAATGAACACTTATTATAATTAAGTAAGTAAAGATAAAAAGTTACTGGCCTACAAAAATATTTAATCTTTATACTGAACATGATGATTTTTTTTATTTTAGATGACAAAGACATCGTAAGATGTGTGCCAACAGGAATGGGACACTCAATCTGTCCTTTCTTTTACTCTACTAGTGGTTAAATAAAACAAAAGAATTACAATCCCCTTAATACTGTATCACATCCTCAGTAAATTGGTTTATTATATTAATTTTAAATTGAAAAATGCAATTTTTTCACCTTAAATTCTCATTTAAATAGTCTAACTAGTTGCCGATTGTGATTGTTTACAATGGATAGTGATATTAAAATCCTTAATCTTTGTTTCAGGCATTGGACATGTTTTCACCAGAAGATACATGTTACACTGGACAAGGATCCCCAGCATTTCAACCTCCGGAGATAGCAAATGGTGCGGAGACTTTTTCCGGAACTAAAGTTGATATTTGGAGCAGTGGGGTTACATTGTTAGTATGAGTATATTACAATCTATATCAGTGGAAAATTTTAATTCATGTATGTAAATTATTTAAATTTATTTGTTACAAAATACCCTATTGATTTGTTTGCTTTGTGTGGAAATATACAAAAGGTGTTTTGTATTTAAATTTGTATACATATAATATTTGATATTGTCAGTGAGTCATATCTTGAAGGACAGATTTACTTGCAACTATTTTCATATGACAACATTAATTTAAATAATAAAATATGATATTTTATGTCCCAATTATTTTATCGCTTTTAGTTCAAGGTACTCTGACTAAGAGTTGTATTCAAAGACAGGACTCGACAATTGTAGATGGGACACATGAGAAGGGACCATTTACTATTACTTAGGTTTCTATTGCTCCAACAAAGACGCTTCCCCTACCCATCCTTTCTTTTTATAAAAGGGTGGGAAGGAGGAGAGAACTATAATTAGGCCTCAGGCATGCACACTCATCACACCAAATGCATGTATTCTGTGTGATTGTGGTATTGCATCAGCAAGCAGGTCCCTTACAGGCATCAAATGTTGGTGTCTACCACTATTAAAACATCATATCGAAATTAAGCACATATATAGAGCATAATCTTGAGTAACACATTAGATACTTTTCATCTTTTTTTGTGAATTCTGCGCAAAAGTCGCGGACAAGAGCTAGTAGAAAAAAAGACGTGCTTGTACTTAAATTAGAAAACCTTGGTCAAATAAACAAACTAATAATGTTTTGTCTTTTAAAGATAATAATAGAAAAAAAGGGTTAATTATTATTATTATTTTTTAATATTAGCAGACTTTTTTTTGTAATTTACTAATATTTCTTTTACCATTCCGACTAAGCTCTAGGCTTGTGCCTATATGGTTTACGACAACACTCGAATGGCGGGATTCGAAGCCCGACTTCGTGATCGGAAATCCGTACCCTTAACCATTAGGCCATTGACGCTCAAATTTCGTGATTATCTAGATACAACATGACGACTGGTCGTTACCCGTTCGAGGGTGACAACGTGTTCCGGCTACTGGAGGCGATAGGTCGCGCGGAGCCCGCGCCGCCGCCGCGCTGCCTCGGCCCGGCGCTGCACTCGCTGCTCACGCACATGCTCAGCCGAGACCCCGACCTGCGCCCCGACGTGCATCAGATACGACGGCACGCGTGAGTGACAACAAAAAAATACCTTGAACATAGAATATAGAAAAGATCTATTAAAAAAAAGATAAAATGAGTGCTCATTTTATCTTTTGTCCTTTTTATACATTGAATAAAAAGTGAAATTACAATTCGAATTGCCTATCATTGATTGGTTGGAAATGAAATTCTGTTAGTTCAAGAAAATTCGTATTGTTCATTTTTTGTGTCGTTCGGTCTTACTATTTTTTTAATATCTTAGATAGGAAATCATTTCAATTGGAGTCATGGTCAAAATTTCGAATTATTTAAGTCAAAGATTTATAAAAATTACTGAAATATTTCTTGAGTTTGTAGAAAACGAAATATGAAATCATACGGCACGTATTAGTTGAAAGCAAAATACAGTGATTCATTTATCTGAAACGTCGCCAAAATCTTTACCAATATCAAGGTCGTGCCAATAAGGAAACAAGGTAAAAGTCAGTTAGATGCCAGTCGTTTTGATAATACCGGTAGCGATTGCTACCTCTACAAGCTAATTTTACATGCAACTAGATTTTATTCGATACTTCGTCAGCGCGGAGTTGATAGAAAAAACTTCTACTCTATGACAAATTCTATCCAGATCTGTAGTTACCTGCTAGAAAACATCCATCCATACATGCATCTAAACTTTCGTATTTATAATATTCATAAGATTTGACTTGTGAACACTACCGTTTATCTTTGTAAAAGGATATTTGTGTTTTAAATTTATTGCAACTACATATGTTTGTAAATAGCATTATGGCATATTCACGGGGCTTTACCTTAACCTAATTCATTTTATTGTCATCACTTCAATTTTAGTAAGTTCTTGCTACTTGAGTAAAATGGCGAAGGTCTCCTCTCGTACGTCTTATCTTTTATGTATTGTTTCAACTTCGATATTGTTATTATAAATCGTATGTATATAATTACGTCTAAATTTTATATTGTTTTTTTTAATAAGTTACATTTATTCTATATGCTCATCAAAACTATCATGCTTGAAGCCATTAGAAGTCGATTGTTTAAAACTGTGAAGGTATAATGAAATTTAAAAAAGTGATATTTGCGTGACATTTCTCTATTTCTCAAAGCCGCAAAACGTGAAAAAGGAAAATTTTTCTACGCCAATGAAACTCGACCTTTTGATCGTGACTTTTTTCTTTGCACGTTGTTTTCAATGCTTAAGAAAAAATATTTTATAACGCAATATCTGTCTTTATTCTTTTTAACTAGAGAAAAATACTGTTTGAATTAGAAAACGTGATAATTGTTGTTTAATGTACACTTCTATTTTTTACTGTGACAATTTACCTTGAGAGTCAATCGTAGCCTTTGAAGAATTGCGTAAATCGCAAGTTGCCAGTTGAATTTTGAGTGTGTAGCGGGTAAACATTAAAATTCAACGAATCAATCGAACTTTTGTAGGCCATTTAGTATTGACCATTGTCATGTTTATATGGCTTTTAAATTAAGATGTCACGATTTTTCACCTACGGGATATAGCACAAGCTGTATGCTTTTAACCCTTGAAGACTCGAAATGTGACAATTGGTTCGTCACATTGGGGCCTTTTGGGCCACGTCGTAATGTAACTGTACAAATTCATCATCAGCTCCCTATACGTCTCCACTGATGGGCGCGGAGCCTACCCTAAGTTAATGGTAACTAGGCCATAGTCAACCACGCTGGCCAAGTGCGGGTTGGTTGACTTCACACATATCTTTGAATTTCTTCTCAGATATGTGCAGGTTGCATCATGATGTTTTCCTTCACCGTAAGAACGTCGGACAAATGTACATAATATGTAAATCGAAAAACAAATTGGTACATGGCGGGATTCGAACCCAGGACCTGCAGATTACAAGTCAAGTGCTTTACCCCCGAGCCGCCGACGCTCAAATTACCGCTTGAATAAATTACCGACCGTATTTCGTTTTACTATCGCTGGTTCTTTCTAATCTTGAAATAAATCGGTTCAAGGATTTGAACCTGATTGAACCACAAGATTCCAATAGTTTGATATTTCATTGCAGTTGGATACAAGCGACGCCTGCTCTGGAGGCAGGCGAGCGCCTGGTCAATCCCCGCTCGCGGCGCTCTGATGAGCATCACAACTCCACAGTCATACCATATCTGGTCGAGAGGCATTACGCCTCCGCACAGGAATACTTCACAGAGAGGGACCTCAGGCACGGTATGTATAAAGACTCACGACACTTTTTTTTTGGTAATTTAGAGAGAAGAGAGAATTCTTTCGATTAGGGAGAAAATTCTATGTGATATTGTATTCATCTCTGTAATACAGTGCAAATATATGGGCTATGGGATTTTCTGTATACTCTAAGATGTTAAATTTACTGTCTGACTATATGTATTCATATTTATTTAAATATTGTAATGTTTTTGTGTTGTGTTTATATACAAAATCTTATCGCGGAACTTGTAAGGGTTCATTTGCATGTAATTAATTACATATACATATCGCTCGCTTATAATATGTGCTTATATGTTTAACATGTACATCATTTACGAATTGCTCAATTAATCTCTTGTACATACTGAAAGACGAGGGCCAAATAATTATTACCATACAAATTATATTAAAGGCCTACAGAATATAATTGCAATTAAAGTATTTATATTTCCGCGGTATGGATACGTCTTAAAAGATACGGATGTGTTTTCTTTGCAGAGCCTGAGCAAATACTCGTTATGGAACGAGTGCGAGCCCGGATTTGCTCGCTCAGTTAGGTTTGTTGCATGCAATGTTTGCGTTTAGGTAGCATTTAAATTTATACAAATAAAGTATTTACTAATTTCGCTACCAAACTAAAGCCGAATTGTTGAAATCTTTGACTAAAAGCTATAAAATCGCTATACGAATGCGACGTAGTTAAAGCGCTAAACTTGCAGTTGTTGTGAAGTAACATTATCTTAGTTATACGACGTAAAATAATTATATGCGGTTATAATTATAGGCTTTATCCTGCCGGTTCGAAAGATCTGTATCATTTTCTAATTCTCTCACTATAGGGAACTTGGACCTTATTAAAAAAATAATAATCATAGCCGAGATTCATTATTAAATAATAGTTTTTAATATAAAATATCATCAGTGCTTTACTAACAATTATACTAACTTTTGCAACTTAGGAAATAACAAAAGATTGTGTTCCTCTGACCAGTGTTTCCAATAAAATTTATATAATGTTTCCCATACGTATAATTTTATTGACATAATATTTAATAGCAAAGTTTGTATTTGCCTACAGAGTAGTCGGTATCTTGTGTTATATTATGGCTTTTATTTTCCTTACTACGCAATGGATAGACATAACCACTTAAATCATTGACGAGTACAAATAAACACGGCTTTAATCTGCCTGTTGACATTTGATAATATTGAGGTAAATGTAAATATCTACATTCTTGTTCACACATGCGTCTGTCGTGTGGTACATCTGTTCATATTACTATTGAGTTTATACTTGGAGTCACGTGGTGAAGGTAAATGCTACGTTTTTAGTCGGCTGGTCTATTACTACGTTGCTACTTCTAATAATCCGTTCTTCTCTATATATTTTCTATAAATGATCTAGGTAGCCCGAACATTTGTGAGAAAGTGTCATTGAAAATGTTTTGTTACATTTGTTTCGGGGGTAAAGTACAATGACAAATCTCATACAAATTTTGACAACGTTATGAATAACCCCTTGTTGTTTGAAAAAGAAAAAGTGTTCTAGAACTTTCGTTTAATTTACTATTCATCTATAATATCATTCGGAGTTTAATTTCACAAAAAATCATTCCTTTTTAAATAAATATAAATACTTTGTTTATTCATGATAAAATATTTTTTTAATTCTAACTACGTTATTAAGTAAAATAAGAAAGCCTAATACACTATCGCTTGACACATCGTGAATTTGTTTAACTTTCAGAGCTGGGCGACAATGGGTCAAGAACAATGTCGACGGCGGAGTTATCAGACGGCGAATCCACTCAATGCAAGAGGCGGTGGCACTCGTCTTGCGGCCGACTGCCATCTTGCCGCCTCACGTGATCCCTGCATTGTCTCAAATGTGTTCTGCAATAATCTAAAGTGTTCCACACTAATCCACAGTGTTCCACAATTGATCCTCTGTGTTCCACAGTGATCCACAGTGTTCTGTGTTCATGTTACACGCTGATCCGCAGTATTACATGCTGATCCACAATGTTACGAAATGATCTAATGTGATCCATATTGTTCTACACCGATTCATAGCAATCGCAACGCTCAGAAAATGCACTTTATGCGATATTTCAGTGTGTTACGGCCTTATCTAGAAATGTTACAGAATCTTACAATATCAAACCATATTTGTCCTAACTAGTTTTGCTTTTGGAATGAAGATAAAATGATTTTCTAAAAATTACATATGTATCTTTTGAAGAGAACATGTACTAAATGTTAAATTATTTCCAAAAATGTAATCACCTAGGTACAGTCGTTCACGAAACGTCGCTAAATTTATATCTGACAATATTTGTTAGAGATATTTCATCTCTGATCAACTCAACAGAAATGTTTATTGTGCAATGCAACCTACTCGATATTTTATATCAGGTCTCAAGTGTGTAGGCACCCTTATACATCATGCGTCTCGCTCTTTTGTATTTTATATCCGGTTGTCTCTTTTTAATTAAGTCGAATTACACATTGCGGTGATTTCTGTGAATAGTATTTTTTCTTACTGTGTTTTGAAATTTTATTTTGTATTATAATAAATGAGAATGGAAACATATTTAAAAATTAAAAATAAATATGACAATAATGAAAATTAAATTATATTTATGAAGAAAACTAAAATGTCTATTACTACGCAATGACATGTCGGCTATCATTTGAATTGCAAAAGTTTGGATAGAATTATATATTTCTTGATTGTAATCTTGTAATTAAGACTGTTCAGTATCTCAAATGAAATAAAAATATTTTCTTAAAATATGTAACGACAAAATGTTTAAATAATTCATTGATACGACCATACTCCATTAAATATATTGTTGTAGTACAAGATTTTGTACTACATATATTTATTCAAGTCACTCATGTAACAGTATAAATAATGACTACTATTATTGTCAAAAATCCTAAGACACAGTATAGAGAATTGTTTTCATTGTTACTTTGACTAATTACACTAAAATTTATACCATGGGTTTCTGAAACCCAAAACCCCGTTTAAAACATATTGGTATCTCAAACATGTCAAAGATAATGACAGGGGCAGTATGTTTAAAACGGAGATTTAAGTGCTAAGATGCTCCAATAAGTTTGATTTTTAAATGTTACAGTCTTCATTATTAATAGAGAAAAATCCGTAGCAATAATATTTTCATCATGAAAAATACTGCAGTTATAAATAGTGCATGATAGTATTTACGGTTAAAAAACTTAAAAGTAAAAAAATATTTTTTTTATCTGTGCCAGTAGTTTCACGCAAACGTACCCCTAGATTCATACTATTAAATCATGTTTCCTTTTACATCGCATTGTGACTATATTATAAGATTCAAACTTTATTATTACTCACGCTGTTAGGTTATTTTTTCGGACAGAAGGTTAAATAAAATTCCGTGCAATATTAAAGTTTGAATCAAAGTATACCGATGTATGAGAGATTTTTATGAGGTACATAATTGTAACTGCATTTTATCATACTGTTATTAATCCATCACGAGCCACACGATCCCACCGAAGACGCTTCTAGAAGCAATTTCCACAGAGTAATTGTATATTGAAGTAAAAAATTTTATTATTGCAGTAGCAACACTTTCCATACCGTAAAGAACTTATTTCTTTTAAACATCACAATAACATCACATTTCTCTTGCTTCCTTGCTATGATAGTACTGTAATAGATTATTATACTTATTTAGAGGTTTTTTTTTTCAACATTTATAAAAAAAAATTGGGCTATGATGCAAAAAACAGACAATTTCAATATAATATATTTAGTAGTAATACTGTTTCATCATAAATATAACACTAATTTTGAAATTTCATCCGTGTCATATGTGTCCGTACTAAACAACGAAAAAGTTTTTTTTTATAATATTTAATATCAACATTTTTTGCATATACATGCAACATGGGAATTTATAATAATGCCAGATTTTAAAGAATTAACAAAATGTTATTTGGTATTGAATAATATGCGAGCCGTTCCATTTGCTTTCTTTGCAGATAAAACTTAATTGTAAAAAGAATAACCACCGTAAATATTAATTTTTAGTTTGTCAGCGTAAATTCTGGATTTAATTAATTATATTCCTGATGTTTTTATTATTGTAAAATTCCAGGTTTTATAAAGTCAATTTGAATTTTTGTTTGTTTATACTAACAAAAATTCAATGTTTTTTTCCTTCAGTTTTGAACAAACGTGATCGTTACTTACTCGGCTAAGAATTACTTAATCATACTAATATAAATGCGAATGTTTGGATTTGGATGGATGTTTGAAGGTATCTCGAGAACGGCTTAACTGATCATAGTCTGGAAGAACACATGATACTAATATTTTTTTTTTAATTTCACGCGGACGGAGTCGCGGGCGGCAGCTAGGAGTTTATACAGAATCTGACAGTTGGGGTGTTTGCGTGAATTACATTTTAATAAAGATTAATAACGGTTCTGATAGTACAACTTTCAAATATTGAAACAATTTAAATTGTACCATTTAGTTAGCTCCGATTTTTTAATTCTCCTCCGGACCTCACTTTTTATATCGTAGCGTTTTAGTTAAATGTTCAATGTAAATTGTGAATGTTAGTATTTAAGAGCTACGAGTTTATTATCAGCCAAGTTTTATTTTTTAAACATTGTCACCGTTTATTTCACCAGCCTTACAATAAGAACTAGACTTTGTCAGCGTAGAAATTAAAAAAATAGCCTAAGTTACTACCGCGCTTATTCCGTCTAGTAAAAGTTCTATCAAAATTGTCACCGCCGTGTAGAAGATTACCCGGAACAAACGCGGATATACGGACAGATAGACAACAATAAAAATATCGTTTTAAATAACGCTCACGAAATATGTTTTTTTATATAACATACAGACTTAATTTTATTACCTGTAGTTATAACAGTTTTTATATTTTTGTGGGACGCCTGTATTTTTCTAATGATTTAAATATTGAATTTTGAACTATGACATCGTTAAAAATCGTGATTGTCTACGATTAATATTTGCCTTGATTTTATTTTAAATTTAATAATGATTTTGAACTTGAAAATACTTGGCTGATCAACAATCTCAGTAGCGAAAAATCTTGCATGTTCTGTAACTTCGGTTCAATGTTGTTCCATATTAAATTGCCTGTATCCTGTTTTTATTTAGTTGATCGGTGTGAAGTGAGCTATTATCACCTTATATGTACAGTCGGTAACAAAAGTTTATTTTAAAAATTATGAACTTATAAAAAGAAAATTGTCATTGTACTAAGATAATTTGCTGAATCTAACATCATTTCGATCGACTAATTGTGTGAATTACATTTACTTAGTTTATGTTTAAATTATTCGTATGTGTTTTACTGTGCAATAGGTTTATATGAATTATGTTCTAGACTAGATTTTAGTTTATTTTTAACATTTACTTAAGCCATATTGTTAATGAGATTACTGCGCAGTTGATCTCCTTCCGCCAAAGGCGTTATACTAATACATAATGTAATATACACATAATTGTAATTCCCCGTCTACTTAAAAGTGAGGTCTTATGTATTCAAATCTTTTTGAGTGTTTTGGCTTTGAATGTGGTCAGTGCCTGTTTAAAATGATGTGGAAAAATCAAGTAAAACAAAATAAAAAGAGAATATTAATATATTGTAAATAAAATGTCGAAGTGATAATAATTTGTATTATTTCCGTCCAATTCCAAGAGAAATCTATTTATATATTTTACTTAAAATAAATGCAAGTGTTCCAAATTTAAATTAAAAATTAAAGCAGATTGAATTATTCGATGATAGAGATAAAAATAACTTACTTATATTATTAATGCGAAAGTTTAGACGGATGGATGTTGGTTAGAAGGTATCTCCAGATCTTGATGAAATTTGGCATACAAGTATAACATACAAGACCACATAGGTTACTAATTTTTTTTTATTCTCCGCTGACGTAGTCGCGGACGACGGCTAGTTATAAAATATATTGCGAAAGTTTAACAACCCAACTAAAAGGCATAAATTGGATACTTCAGAGTTGTTCTTTCTGCTTGGGATAACAAAATATATAATTTCGCGCAGTAGACATGTTACGATTGCTTTGTAGTGAAGCTGTGGGAATGGTGTGTCGCAAGTGTCCCAGCTTTGGCCACAATGCGCGGAAGTGCAGTGCTGCAACCCGCCTTCCGCCATATCAATTTGCTTGAAGTTACAATTGGATCACTATGCCATTCCAAGTGACCACAGTTGTGTGTATATATGCTGATATGGTTCAATTAATTGTGGTCACTTGTACTATCTTGTCTGGAAATAAAAATACGCTTGATAAGGAAAACATCGCGAAGAACAAATCTGGAAAAAACTTAAAGTGTGTAAGTAAATTAATCCGCCCTGGGCCTGTCTGGTCGAATGAGGCCTAATTATCCATAATTTAGTGCAATCCTCTGCTTCCTAATAGTTTGACGAATATGATTACCGAGCTTCTTGAATTAATGTAAACAGGTTATATGTGTAAATGTGTATACAAAAAAAAACTTGAATTATATATTTTTTATAATATTCTGGAATAATTTGAGATATCGTTTCAAATAAGTACACACACAAGGTTGGTTAACTGTATAGTATATTTAACGTGCAATAAATATATTTCTTAGTAGAATTATGTGGCATAAAGTTTGCATTGTATTAGGAAGGCTATGCACACCACGCATCGTTTATTTTCTTTGTTAAACACAAACGGTCGTTTGTAATTGCGTTTTGTTAGGAATGGTGTCATCTCCGCTTCATTCATTACGTGTACAAAGTGAAGGGTTGCCGAACGAAGACTATGATCGTTTTTCTCATTGTCAGTACCATAAAGTTCAAGGTAAACGAATTTTTCGAGTGTTAATCTGTTAACCTACTTTTTTGGTAAATACCTAAGTTATACGTTCACATTTATAAAACAATTCCTGTTTTTTTTTAATAAACAGTATACTATATATAATATAATATTTGAATAGTATTTTTAGCCTATTATTATAAAGTTATTTATCTGTTACACAGTGTCCATTTTCGCGCCCTATGCGAGATTCCTAAGGCGCTCAGACCTGCGGCGCCCCTTTCTGTCTAGGGTCCTGGGCTCAACCGCGCTTTCCACTAACGCTGGTTGTGACAAAGAGATGGACAGTTATCTTAGTAGTGTTTTAACTTTAAAAATAAAACCATAATTAAGAACGTCCCTACTATTCAACATATTTCAATACTTATCTGATTTAAAGTGTACATCAATACGTTTCTAATTAATGAATCAAAATATAATTTGATTAAATCGAAAATAATTTGCAATCTGTACAATTATCGAATCAATCAATGTCTAATTTAAAGGTCTACTGAATTACCTATGAAATAGCAATGCCCACCTGTATATGAGTAATAATGCCGATGATTAATAAAATAACTTCTTACTTTGGCTCTATGATCAATCTGTACCTTTAAATGTAACTTTAGATATGCGTCAGTAATTGTTCAAGACTTCAAGACGACAAATATAAATATTATAACTGCTCAAAGAAATTATCACTCATTCTCCATAGCCAAACCAGTGGTATACCGTTTGATTACACCATTACGTGTGCTTCTAGCTGGCAACTTGATTTATTGCAATATTTTGCCTTTCCTGGTTTTTATATCTGTCTTAATCCAAAAGTTTTATTTTACAAAAACGTCACAATTAAACAATGCATTTTTATTAGTATTATTTAAAAATATATTATTTTCTAAATTACGCAAAATTATCAAAATATTACGTTATGAGAAACCGCATA